GATAGATAGATAGATAGATAGATAGATAGATAGATAGATAGATAGATTAGATAGATAAGATAAGAAAGAAAGAAAGATAGATAGATAGATATAATGTTTAAGGGCTGACGCCCCCGTGCTGCCCACCCCAGAGGGAAACGATAGAGTCATTGTATGGCATATATATATTATATATATATACACTAGAGAAACGGAGCAGAATCGTCGTGCCGAGGAATCATCTCATCTGGGCTGGTGCTCTTTGGTCGGCTTTCCTGTTGCAGACAAGGAGGAACCCGAACAGAAACCCCTCGTAAAAGCAACGGGTTTTAGAAGGGCCTAGCTGGACGAATTTCATTTGAAGGAGCTGATTTGGTTTAGGGTGATGCAGCTTTGGTGTAATGTATTTTAGAGAATGATAGCAAGGTTCACGACGGGTCTTTGCCATACGCTGGAGACCTGTGGCCAAGGTAGATGGTTGTTACTGATTGCTCATATTCTTCAAAGCTTCGTATTCCAATTTCGAGTCACAGTTTGTGTTGTTGTGGCTTCCCACTCTGACGGACTCATCTTGGCAACGCACAGTGACTGCGTTGATGGAGCAGGTGCTTGTCCTACCTCCATAGCTCCATTGGATTGACAGCTCCAAAGACGCACTCCCAAGGCTCTCGGCCGTCTCCTTCGCCACGCCTTTCCACCATCTAAGTCAAAACCAAAACTGACCCACAAATTGTCCTCAGAGCGGCTCGGTGACTTCCAAACGTTGCTTTCTGACGACAGCACAATATAAGACGAGCCTTTACAGCCATCTTGCTTCTTGTGGCGCTACGAACCTGTCTCTGGAGCCAGGTCTCTGGAGCTGCTCCAGAGGCTCACGTCCAAGGGCCCGGGCAATCTCTCAGACTGACCCCAAGTCTGTCCCCCGAACCCACCTCCATAGCTCCATCGACCCGCTCCCAATGGCAGCTACGTTGCTTTCTGACGGCAGTAAAGAGCAGTCTTTCACTTTCTTTCCAGCTAGCTTTCTTCCGATGGCCGCTCCAACTCTGTTTCCACCTCCATCGCTCCGTCGACCCGCCACAGCTTCGCCACAGCTTTCCACAATCTCATTCCACACCAAAAACGAATCAAAATTTGTCCTCAGAGCGACTCTCTCAGTTCCAAACGTCGCTTTCTGACGGCAGTACAAAGCCTTTTTCTTCTTCTAGTCCTCTTCCAGAAGCCGTTCTGTAACCTCTCACGGGTCTTCTGGCTGCTAGACTGTTCGGAGGTCCCAGCGATCTCCTTTGCCAAGGCTTCCGGCAATCTCGCTTTTCTCTCTAAGTCCAAACCAGAACTGACCCCACCACGCTTTTCCATCTATATAATGCCTAACCAGAACTGACCCAAAAATTGTCCTCAGAGCGGCTCGTTGACTTCCAAACGTTGCTTTCTGACGGCAGGATGGAGCAGTGTTCTTTGGTGCTCCCCCGCCATCGGCTGGGGTCGGCGGGTATAAACTATAAACTATAAACATCTTGTATATATACCTTCTAAATGTCCCAAGGCCCTTTGAAATTGAGGGCTTTGCCAGGCTTTGTGTGGTGTGATGACTACACAGCTGACACTGCATTACTTTCAAAGTCGTACGAAATCATACCACCTAAGACATCCAGTTTCGGATGCCAATGGGAGGAAAGGGACCTTTTGAGCAGTCACTGAGCCTTTGCAGCACGCTATGTCCCAGTGAGTGTGACTGCCTCTAGGTTCTTGCAGTATTCATGTTAACTACCAGGATGCCGGCCAGCCAGTATCAAATTGTGTAAACCACCCATCACTTGCATGTCATCATTTGGTTTCTATTTTGTTCATCTTCAGTTGGAGGAGTGGTAATTCTATTCCAACTGAAGCTGATGCTGTGGTCTTCGCTTTCCAGTCTTATGCCTCCTTCATCATCCTTATTGACATTCATTGTCTAATATGGTTTTTTGGTAATTTTTAAGGAATATGGATTACAACCGCAAGTTCTGCCTTTGGGGTTGATTTCAATTTTATTCATTAACTGCAATTTGCCGTGTGTGTTTTTTTACTGGTTAGTGTCTTTTCTTGGTTTAAATTTACTGTTGCTGGTTCATCATCTGACAGTTCAAAATCTTCAGGAATTGGATTTTTGGGAACTTTGGGTTTGTTTCTTTTTGGAGCTAGTTTTACTTATACCATATTTTATATAATTTATTATCATTTTTATATATTCAAGAAAAAGCAGCATTGTTTGATTTTATGATTTTTTTTATTATATACTGGCTATTTATCATCGTTGGAAGCGCTGTTTTCTATTAAATCTATTGCATCCAAGAAAATATTGATTTCTTGATTATTCATTATTCATATTTGTGCATCAGGTTTAGGAAGGCTTGGGTTTGCACTGTATTATAGGGTGTTTGGGTTCCCTTCATCCGCACCCCGCGCTTTGTGGATGTGGTGGCTGTAGTGTGTTTTTTGTTTTTTTAGGTTGGGGTAGTTAGTTAGATAGATAGGTATACAGACAGGTAGATAGATGGATGGATAGATAGACAGATAGATAGACTTTGATATAACACGCAATATTTCGTACAATAGGGTAGATGGATTTTATAGCCATCCGTTCGCCCCGCAATGCTTGGGCTACAACGCCATCATCCACTAAAAAGGCACTCCTTGCTCGTTTGAGCGCAATTTTGTCGGGGTTTCGTGCCTTGCACGATGGTTGATCTTGGATTGAGCCATTTTTTCCTATGGTGGCCATTGCAAGAGAGAAGCATCTCAAGAGCTCATCTCAAGTTCGATCCGCCAGGTTCGATTTGACATTATGTGTCTATCAATTATATTTATGAGGACGCGAGGGCTAATTTTCCCCCAAAAGCAGATAGTATAACTGTAACTTATACACACTATAGTGAGAGTCCCATATTTGGTCACGTCATTTGCCTGAGTTTCTATGATCTTCCGTTGTCTTCCAGTAGCTTGTCCAGAAAAATGTCTCATTCGAACAGCTGTGGGTTGGAGCATCTTAAGGACCCTGAGAGATTTGACAATTAGCGAGTTTTAACTTAACATAGTACAACGTGACATACCATAACAAAACTATTCTCGACTTGCAAGCTCATGAAACGAGGGCATTCTCAAAACTGGCTTGTGTCCACTTCTGATCCGAAAGCACCATGGCTGGCTCTCGTTGCTTGGTGCTCTCTTTGCTGTTCTTCACTTTCAACTTGCAGGGCTGCGATGCCAGCCAGATGAAAATGTTGAGCGTTTTCGTCGTGGTCTGTGGGGTCATGGCCACTTGTGGAACACTCATCATGGGATGCTTGGCTATGAGCCAGCCCCCCGGGCCGGGCGAAAAGAACCTGCCTCACGTTAGGTTTACCAGGCTTCCTGGCCATGGTGGTGATTTGGGTGGGCTTCGGTCTGTTGGCGGCCCACATGAACTGTAAGACCTTCAGAGACTATGAACCTGAGAGTTGCGAATGGTTGGAGCCTCCTCCAGGTGGATTCGCGCTGGAGGACTGTTGCGTATCCGTGCCTACTACGGCAAGTCCTGATGAAAGATGACCTGAAATTGCAGAAATTGGAAGAAACCCCATGTTTCACCCGAAGTGATTTCATCTGAGAATTCTGGCTAAATATGCCATTTTGTCTCTGCTGTCATGAAAATATCCTCCTTGCCTTCGTCTATAGCAGGTGAAGTGGGCAACACCTGGCACATACTCTTAGGTGTTTAATCTGTTGAAGTTGCCATTAGCATCAGACAAGTTTGACAGTTGAAGCACTGCCAAATTTTCAGAAAAATCTGCCGTTGGCAACATTTGGAACGACCTGCTATGAATCTACCAAGCACTGGAAACTCAGAATTGGCAGAGGGAGACTAGAGGGAAAACTACACCTAAATAGTCTATGAGGTTGACCTTGCCTATCTTCCATTCAATGATACCATAAGATGTAATCCCCCAAATGCATTACCCCATTTGATAAAATCATCTAAAAGCTTTATTGTGTGACAAAATGAATGAGGTTATTTGCTGATTTTTTCGGGGGAGATACATAATACATAGAGTACTTTACTGGAAGGTAGGCAAGGTCCTACGACAAGCCCCACTACATGTCCTTCAGTGCACACTGATCATGAGCTGTTCCCGTTCCCCAACGCCAGACCCAATTTAGCCGATTTAGTCTTAGTTTTCTGTCAGCAACATCTTCCACATGTTCCAAGGTTGTGTAATACTCGTCTATGGAGCACCCACCTTTTTGCACCAAACCTGCCCGAGGTGATCAGCTACCTCCACATGAACGAAGGCGCTGCTGAGCTGGACACTGGACTTGGTAGGGAGAACTGAGTAAACTCATAGCGTCATAAAACTCATACCTCATATATAGATCCATTCTTGGCGGTGTTTTGACAAATCCTCACATGTACATGGAGAATAGAATTTGGGTGGAAGGAACAATTGTAACCTCGAATGATAGTGTCCTCTAATTACATGCAAACCAGCTCAGGGGCTGCAATGCTGGGATGGTGGTTCAAGTTCTTTTCGAATTTGCTAGAGCTGAAATCAGAGTTGTTTCACATGTCACATGAACAAAGTTCTCACGATATTGCAGTGGTCCCCAATTAGAACTATATAGTATTTGAGGGAAAATGTTAGACTGGGGATTTTAAATCTACAGTACCTCTTACATGTTTGGTCTTTGGAACCTCCTTTGATTAAACACACCCACGTGATTCAGCTTTCTCAACCCACAACTAATTCAGCTAGCTAGTTATTCAGCCTTTTTGGCATTTTGAGCTCCAACTTGAGTGGTCCAGTTCTTGGATGGTCGATAGTCGCACTTAGACCCTTTCTACGATAGATGGTATCCAGTGAACAACAACAAAACTGTGATTCTCTTCCGACAAACTCACAGATTTGAGTCAGTTTTTCAATGTTGGGATTCGTTTTTCGAATCACCGCTACAGTTTAGATCTAAGGTGAAAAGGCATGTTCAGGCTGGCCCCAGATCGGCCTCGTCATGGGGCAGTCGATCCACCAGACCATGTTTAAGGGAAAAGTATGGAGAGATGGGTTCTTGATGAGAGAGTGACTGCTCAGGGTCATGGCCATCAGATCATCTTCCCTGCCAGATCATGGTAATGGTGATCAAAAAGGACATTCTTGCCTCCCATGTGTCAATTCCTGCATGACGCATACATATGTTTGAGTGATTTTCGTCCGACCGACATATCTCGGATCAATACAGGGCCCTTGACGCCACCCCGTGCTACGACATATGGAAAACAGGTGATTCGTTGACGACAGAACTTGGCCGAGACTTCGTGGGCTTGTGAACATCCAAGTTGATATTGGTAGCGGAGCTGGCGACGCTCCTCCCAAAGTATTCGGACGGTGATCTTTGTGTTTGAAGAGTTCCTGAAGATCTTGTGAAAGGGCTTTGAGGTGCTCATCTCACTGTTCGTGTTCGGCGAGGCAATACTATGTCTCAAGCTTTCGGAGGGGCCGAGCGCAGTTCGCCTAGGAGATACGCAGGGACCAGACGCGCCAGAACACCTCGTGATCAAGACTTCCCAGAAGAACCACGAGAACGAGCGAATGGTGGAAGACCCGACACTGGTGGAGGCTTCAGAGGACTGGACTCAGGACTGTCTAAAGCTTGCCCTTCGACAGATGGTTTGAACCAGAAGAACTACAGAAGTTTTCGACGACGTGTTGAGTTGTTCGAAAGACAGTGCCATCGTCGCAGTGTTGATACGGCAGTTGAGGGTGCATTGTTACTCATTTCAAGATTGCAAGATTTGGCTTGGGATTCAACAGAACAGATTTCTTTCGAAGCATTGGAACGCAGTCCAACGCCATTTACATTTGTGTATGAGATTTTGGACAATTTGTATCAGTACGAACAACAAGTTGAAGTGCCATCCCGTTGTGAAGAGTTCTTTGCAGAGTTCCAAAGGATGAAGAATGAAGACATGACTTCATACCTGGTCAGGCATCGAACATTGGTGAAGCGCATGAGGAATGTTGGTGTTGAAGTACCAGCCCTTCTCAGCGGCTGGCATTTGTTGACACGTGCTGGAGTTCCAAAGTGGACACACGTTCAAGTCAAAGCATTGTGTGGTGGTGACTTGGACTATGAGAAGGTTCACAAAGCTTTGATGAAGATGTTTGGCGGTGACCACAAGCCGAATCCAAAGGACCTTCAGAGGACAACAACGACAACAGAGGTATACTTTGAAGATGATTATGAAGTTGTCGATGACGAAGGTTACTATGGTGAAGAAGACACAGGCGACTGGTGGGAAGAAGAAGTGAATTATGAAGAGTGGCATGACGAAGAAGAATGGACAGAAGATCTCGAAGAAGCAGCGGATGCCACAGAAGAAGCTTACATTTCCTACCTGGATAGTCGTCGAAGGATGAGAGAATTAGCTCTTTCCCGAGGATTTTACCCAGTTGTGGCCATTGGTCCTGAAGCAGATGGTCGCAGTCAGAGCAAAGGAAAAGGGAATGGAAAAGGAAGCTCAAAAGGAAAAGGAAAGGGCAAAAGCTCCAAGGGAAAAGGAAAAGGTAAAGGAGGTGGTTTTCGACGCACCTTCGACAACAGACGACCCATGTCAGGTTTGAGGAGACCTACATCAAGCACAAGTGCAAACAGCAGTGACGTGAAGTCAACCCTGACAGGTTCAACCAGCAGTCATGGCCCCAGATTCAAAAGGTTTCGTGTGCAGTCCAGTGGTGTGAAGGAGGTTCCAGAAGAACAAGTTTCGATGGTGGAGGAGACAGCCACCGTTGATGAGTGCTACTTTTCCTCCTTGCTGCCTGGTAGAGCGATCGTTGATTCAGGTGCAACCAGGACAATTGTTGGAGAAAAGGTTTGGCAAGGATGGTTGGAACATGCACATGATTTGCCAGTACAAGTCACGCAGGTTTCAAGAGACTTCAAGTTCGGAGGAGGTGAAACGCTTCGTTCAAGCTACGACATCACCTTCCCGGTACAGGTACGTGGACAAGACCTGAGCGTGACTGCATCGGTGGTTCCAGGAAAGACTCCTTTCCTTCTGGCAAGACCTACGCTGGAAGAGTGGAAGGTGCAGCAAGATTATGCAAAAGGCAGTCTGAAGATCAAAGATTCAGATTGGTTCCAACCGGAGAGAGGTCAAAAGGGGCACTACATCGTGAACCTCCTGCAGCTTTCCTCAGAAGCATTGGGAGTTGAAGAAGTGCTGGCCATTCCAGAAGATGTTGTCGTGCAGTGGCCCGTACAAGATGATACATGGTACATTGAACCTTCCACAGAAGCGGAAGCAACCGGAGAGCTGCCCCTCGTGGAGTTCGAGATTGAGGATGACACCATGATTGAAGAAGCCATGAAAGCAGTGGAGACCGACAGGCGCATGACTTTCTTTGAAGTCTACGTGGATGAAGGCCAGTTGTCACAGAAGCTTCTGAACAAGTATGCAGATGTGAGTGTGGCCAATTTTTCTTTGCCAGAATGGGACTTCAAGAAGAGTCATGTGAGAAAGGAGTTTTTGAAGTTGATGAGAAAAGAACGACCTTTGCATGTGTGGTTAGCTCCACCTTGCACCAAGTGGTCCGTCATGCAGAACCTGAATGCATTGACGGAAAAAGGAAAAGAGAAGCTGATGAAAGACAGAAGTGAGGAGGAAGAGTCTCATCTCGTCTTCGTGACTCAGGTCTTTGAGGTCGGAGAAGAAATTGATGCTGGAGTCAGCTGTGAACATCCTCGTGGAGCCAAGTCTTGGGAGACAGAGACCATGCAGAAGCTGAAGGAAAGATCGGTGATGGATGCCGAGTGTGATCGATGTCGAACAGGTCTAGTCTGCCGAGACAGTGGAGGAAATGTGTTGGGCAAAGTGAAAAAGCCAACACGCATCAGAACAAGCAGTCCCTTCGTGTATGAAGCTCTTCATTTGCAATGCCAATGTCGCAATGGTGAGCATGTGAGAAGGGAGGGGCGATCCACGGCTTTGAGGAGAATGCAAAACTACGAAAGTGGCTTCACAGAAAGGGCAGCAGACGCCATTCATCAAGACATGTTGAAGAGATGGCAGGCACAAGAGACCTTGAAGATCTTCATGGCCGACGAGCTCGATGAGATGGAGATTGAAGAAGAGCAGAAGAAAGAAAGGAAAGGCAACGAAGAAGACAAGGAGATGATGAAAACGCATGGGAAAAAGGCACTCCAGATCGTGAACAAATTGCACAAGCAGTTGGGTCATCCCGGAAATGACAAATTGGTGAAAGCATTGCAGGATGCCAAATTCCCAGAAGAAGTTGTGGGATGTGCTAGAAAGTACAAGTGTGACATCTGTCAAGGAGAAGCAATGAAGAAAAGCACAAATCCAGGTACTTTGACAGAAGCCACCTACTTCAATGAGATCATCGAGATGGACACTTTCCATATGAAGTGGAATGATGAAAAAGTTCGCATCTTAGCAGTCATTGATTTGTTCACGAAGTATGAGGTGAACGCATTGTTGCCAAGAGAAACAGAAGAAGCAGAACTGCAAGTGCTGGAGGAGTTATGGTTCCATCCTTTCGGCTTTCCAAGTCGATTGAAGACAGATGCTTCGGGAGCACACATGAGCCAGAAGTTTCTGGACGTCATGGACCAATACAAGATCAAGCTGGTGTTGATTCCAAAGGAGGCTCATTTCAAAATGGGCACGGTGGAAAGATTGCATGCAGTGAGGCGTCTGCAGTTGCTGAAGATGAAGAAAGAGATGCCCAATGTCGATCTGCAGCAAGCAATTCGAACAGCATGCACACAGCGCAATCGGCTACGCAACATTCATGGCTCATCACCAGCTGACTTGGTCTTTGGCAGAGCTCCCAATGCATTGGCAGGTCTCATTGATGAACCTCAAGATCTACGACCCGATTTGCCAGCAGCAGCTCAAGATTTAGTAGTTCTCCGGACTCTTGCAGCCAAGACATTTCATGAAGCCAACAATGATGCCCTTCTGAGACGTTCTCTTTTGGCAAGACCAAGGTCCGACCATGAACCTTTGCCACTTGGTTCTTGGGCATACTACTGGCGGCAGGGAGATTCCAAGCTCGAAAGCTCTCGATGGCGAGGACCTTCTTTGGTTTGCATGGTTGAGCCAAAACCCATGAGCGATTCCGAGAAGTTTCGACCTCATGTTTACTGGTTAGCTCATGGTGCCTCTCTCGTTCGTGTCGCTCCTGAACATATTCGTCCAGAGTTACCACGAGAACGGTTGGCACGGTTAGAGAACATGCCAGATACAGCTCAATCCACACCGGTTCAAACCCAAATCCTTGACACCTTACGTCCTGTTCGCGGTCCCGTTCGGTTTTTGGATGTGTCTTCTCAGCAATCTCCTTCCCTTGGGGGTACCTCTTTTGCGAATGCAGCGAGTCAGGGTGCATCCGTCGTTTCGGCCTCGGATAACACTGCAACCGATGCCCCGGCATCGGAGAACACTGCAACCGATGCCGGACAAGATGCACCAGCTACATTGGCAAGTGTTGCTGAGAAGAGTGCAGGTGAAACCGGAGTTGATGCAGAGATGCAAGAGCCAGAGATTCCAAAAGAAGAAGATGTCAGACCACAGAGAGAAAGATCAAGAAGTCCACCCGCCAGAGATGAGAAAGCCAAAGCCTTTCAGTCCTACAATTTGTCCCGACAGTAGGATGGAATGCCTCGAGTTGAACCCGGTGATGCAGCCTTTGAGAAACACTGGGAACAGATGGTTCAGCCCATGGAGGAGGACGAAGATTTGATGGCTGAGTCATTCCATGAATCCAAGCTCACGGACAAAGAGCGACAAGAGTTTAGCGAAGCGAAGGACAAGGCATTACGTGTTTGGCTGGAGAATAAGGCTTGGAAGGCTGTTCCTGAGACGGAGGCCAAGGACGGCGAGGTCATTCCAGCAAGATTTCTGCAGAGATGGAAACCTACGAAAGAAGGAAAAGTGGCGAATGCCAGAGTCATCATCCAAGGATTCCGTCATAAAGATGTTCTCAATGAAGAGCTGGATCGTGAGTCGCCGACTTTGAGCAGAACAGGTCGTATGTTGATCCTGCAGTGGGCTTGTCAGTTGGGATGGAAAGTTTTTGCAGCCGACGTGAAAAGTGCTTTCATGCAGTCCAAGTCCATCGATGAGGAGACCCGCATCTATATCCGACCCACTGCTGAGATGAGAAGACGATTGGAGAGACTCATGGATCTCAAAACATGGGAGCTTCTCAAAGCCACCAAACCGGCCTTTGGTGACGTGAGAGCACCAAGGCAGTGGTATGAGTCAGCAAAAGATTTCCTGATCAATGAGGCCCAGTTCCTTCAGCATCCTTTGGACAATTGTGTTTTCCTGAGCGTGAGGCTTGCATGCAGAGGAGATCATGATTTCCAAGTGTTTGAACACCAAGGCAAGCAATACATTGTTGATGGGATTCTTGGTTTGCATGTTGATGATTTCCTTGGTTGTGGCGAAGGAGTGCATGCAGTGGAGGATGTAACCGGAATCCGTGAGGAGACAGAAGCGCAGAGGACAACACATTGTTTCAAGAGCAGGTTGCAGAGTTTGGCACAAAAGTTCAGGTTCGGCAGTTGGGACTTTGGTCGCAATTCCAAGATCCTGTTTTGTGGAACATCATTGGAGCAAAGTATTGGGTATGACAGCTTGACATTGAGCCTGAAAGAATATGTGCAGAAGATCAAGCCGATTACCTTGGACAAGCAGAGGAAGACCATGAGCGACGCACCATTGGAGCCCAAAGAAACGAAGATGCTGAGAGCACTCATTGGCGCGTTGGCTTGGCCGGCAGGACAATGCCTACCTCAGTTGTCCGCTTCAATTTCATTGTTGCAAGCATCGTCGAGCAATCCAACAGTTGGTGACATTGTGCAAGCAAACAAGTTGTTGAGATTTGCAAAAGACGTGGTTCAAGGCTACAACATGACCTTGAGGCGACATGGACAAAGCTTGTCGGAGATGCGCTTCGGTGTGTACATGGACGCATCATGGGGAATCAGGCCTGACGGCTCTTCCCAAGGCGGGCACACGATCTTCATTGGCACAGAGGATGAGATGAATGCAGGGAAGCCTTTTCCTTTGACCATCATCAGCTGGCATTCTCGAAAGTTGAACCGCATGTGCAGGTCTTCATTGTCGGCAGAAGCACAGTCAGCAGCGAGCGCAATTGATGAAGTTGAATGGACCAAGATTTTCGCTGCTGGGATGGTCAGTCCCTACATCTCCATTGCCGATGAGGGCGTGCTCCAGATGTTCGGCCCGACTCCTGCTTTGACAGATGCAAAGTCTCTTTTCGATTCTGCAAGGTCAGTGTCTGCAGGTCTGAGGCTTACAGAGAAGAGAACAGCAATAGAAGTCGCAATTGTGAAGGAAAGGTTAGCTGCGATGCTTGGAGAAATGAAGTGGGTGAACTCGGCACAGCAAGTTGCAGATGGGCTCACGAAACCAGGAGCCAAAGATAGTTTCTCGCATGTTCTCAGGCGAGGAGTTCACTCATTGAGATTTGATCCAAACTTCACGGCGGCCAAGAAGGTCACCAGAGAAGAGAAAGAAGGTGAAGAGAAAGAACACGATGAAGCCGCCAAGATGCTTTTCCACGGTGAACTGTTGATGACCGAGGAGATTGCAGCTGGAGTATGCCAGAAGCCTGGTTGTGGGAAGTCGCTTGATGCTTCACAGCAGCACCACCGGTATTGCAGTCGAAGGCATTTTTACAAGCACTTCAACCAGCGCAAACTTGGTGAAGACATGTGGAAGAAAGCAGCACAGATGGCAATCCTTACATTGTCAACACAGGGTGCAGAGGAAGCAGGTGTTGAAGCAGCTGATGCAAATCAGACAGCATCGGGAAACACTGCAACCGATGACTTCCGAGTTGTGTTGACATTGTTGGTGATTTTCCTGTTTTCATTCATTGGCATGCAGAACGTTGCTTACAAAGCATACAGGTGGTTTTTGAGCATTGTGCAAGTTCTTTTCCCCCGGCCAGTGATGGTGAATGAGAACATGATTGAAGAAAATGAGGTGAATGACGACGATGAAGTTCCAGAGATTGACTCGGATCCTAGCCACGGCACCATTGCAGAGATGGAAGCCGCACAGAACAACCAGGTGAATGAGGATGATGCCGGAAGCTCTTCCGTGAACGATGATCCAGAAGTGTCACCAGAAGAGTGGGATCGCTGGTACCAAATCAAAGAAAGTGTTGAGAACGAAAGAGGACAAAGGAAGTGGAAGAAAATTCTGAATGAAGTGGTCCTCAACTACCAGCACCCCATGATCGACAGCGCGTTGAGAGGAGTAATGATTGAAGAGAATTGGACAGACAACCGCTGCAAGTCTTACAAGAAATTGTTGGACATTGAGGACACCTCCGGTTGCACTTCGGACCAGATTCGCCTCTGGAATCGTCATTGCAATGAGAGGATGCTCTTCATGATTGAGGTGAGTGCAAAGGTAAAGAAACAAAAAGAACAGATTGAGTTGTTGGAACGCACCCTGGCCAGGAAAGAAAGGCTTGAGCAGTTGGAAGGCATGGAGCGCTTTCGACAAAGAGTGAGTGATTGGGAAGTCAAAGACAAGGTGTGCCAGACACCGTTCACTTTCAGTTCGGCGCGCAATAGGTTGGTTGCTCTCCCTGACCATGCTCACGGCTCATACGAGTTTCAGAGCGATTTTTACAACAGGTGAAAAGAGCAATGGCGTCAAGGCCAAAAATTTTTTATTTTCTCCAAAAGGAATTTTACATGGTCGAGATGGGCTCGAACGAAAGAGCTTTCCTCCTGTGTCAATTCCTGCATGACGCATACATATGTTTGAGTGATTTTCGTCCGACCGACATATCTCGGATCAATACAGGGCCCTTGACGCCACCCCGTGCTACGACATATGGAAAACAGGTGATTCGTTGACGACAGAACTTGGCCGAGACTTCGTGGGCTTGTGAACATCCAAGTTGATACCATGGTCATCATTGGTCGTCGATCCTGGTCACTTGGCCTTCCCCAGGATGGTCTGCCCGAGTGACGCCACCCAGAGGACAGGGTGCTGAGGGAAGCGACCAGACGTTCTTTTTGTGCACCCCATAGAATTAATTCCGAAAGGCATGGATTTCCTCTATCTTTGTGTGGGGGCGCACCATGCACAATACACCAGGCCCTAGCTAGTACTGTTTGGTCCCATTCAGGTTGCGGCAATAGCGGTCACTTGTAAGGACATAGACTACAGTAACTGACCTTGGACTATATAAGCCACTAGGAAATCTTGAATTTTGCGCTCTCCTGCAGAAATCATGCATCATCACTTTGGCAAAATGTGATGTTCTTGCATCTCCAAGCACGACTAAGTTCTCTCACCCGCTTTGTTCTTTCACGATCTTTGGAATGATCGCGCGTGAACTTCAAATAGCTCCTGGACACGTTGAAGTGCCAAAAGTTTCAAGACTCTTTTCAAATCCCTTCCTTCAGGTCGTGGACCAGGCTCTGTCAACTCGGCCAATTGATCATTTCATCATGGGCTGCACGTGCAATCGCAACTTGCAATCGCTTGCACGGCTATCGAGCTAACACGCCAAGTCCTCAGCTCACTCAAAAGGGCTCAGTCTGTGCACAGACCGATGCAGTTGGAATCCCGCACACATGGCCTTGTTTGTGCGGCTGGCCTGCACAAAACCAGAAACCGAACGCAATGGAAGTAGCAGACTTGCTCTCATCCTCTTCGCAGACGTGCTTCTGGGGATCGAACAAGTGGTGTGGAGGTCTCCCTATGTTGAACATCAGATTCAATCACACCTGAATACTCTTGGACCCAAAGGGGAAGAACCTGCAAACGCGGAACGCAAAGGCAAGTCCTCAAGTCCCCCACCTCTGGAAGACCCGTGCTCCGTGAGGACCGCGCCGCAAGCGCGGGCTCTTCGCCACCCGCGCACCTCACCGGCCGAGCCTCGGATGTGGTCGGGGACGAGGATGCCAAAGAATCACAAAGTCAAGAGGATTTCAACGTGAAAGTCAAGATGTTGGATGATGTTGGCAGGTATTTCCGGAAAAGCAACAAGAGGGATGCAAATTGGAGTCTGTTGGGTTGGGAGAATGCATGTCCGTTCACTTGTGGTTGTCCCACGAAGCCTCCGGCCGGGTCAAGCGCCGGAACTTCGTCTGCGCAGTTTGGAACTTAGGAATCACCTTGGCATGTCCGCCTGCCGCTCGCGACCTCAGTCGATCGTTGGGGTGCGGAACTCCACAGTGCCTCCGCCGTGAAGGGCTGGGCGATCATTCGGGTGTTCACCGTTGAGTTGGTGGGCGATGAAGGTACAGTCAATCGAGTCACCAAGCTGCCACGGGTCACACGATCAGACGTTGTGCTCGACATGGGTTGCGTGACTGTAATAGGAAGCCTGGCTTCAGGTTGTTTACTCCGGACTCCGAACCAAGAGAGCACGCTAGATTTCTCATACCAGGAATCCTGGAAGAGAAATGGGGACTCTTCGGAACGTCCGAGTGTTTGGAATCCAGGTGCTGGGCAAGAAAATGGCTGTGCTGACATGTCAGGGGCTTGTGACCTAAGCTCAAACCCTCTATTCAAGAAAACATCTATCATCTATCCATGTTCTGTGGATGCAATATGATGGCGAAAAAGAGCATTGAAAGCCATTTAGTTTAGTTTTAAGTTTTTCGATTGAGGTAATAATAAACTGAACTCTGTTCTTGGTTTGGAGGCGTAGGGTGTATACATCCTCAAGTACAGCTTTGGGCCGCCCGAAAACCATTTCAGGCCTTTCTTGCGTTGGACATGTTCTGTCGATGTTCTGTCGACCATCAGGATGATTCTCAGTGCAAGGAGCGTCTATGGAACCAAGAACCGTGGAACCACCAAGTTTGGGACTAAATATGCTGAGGCACTTGTTCCTAGTAGCTTCTTGTTACTACTAGTAAGGCACCTGTTACTACTAGCGTGGCACTTGTTACTACTAAATATGCTGAGGCCTGGTGAGTGTGGACATTGCAAACCTTAGAGGCCGAACAAATCCGAAAGTCGTGTGGTGCTTGTGTGAGTCTGAGTCTATATCTTTGAATGGGTCAGATGGACGAGGCGTGTGGAATCACATTATTTGGAAATGTTTGGAATGTTCTTGAAGTTGTCCAGTTGATGAGATATGTGTCCCTCACAAATATAGGTTGTGTGTGTTATATACCCACATTTACGTTTAGTCAAATGGTTGTTCAACCATGTTCAACCTTGTTTTATTGTTTTGCACGGCAATTTTCCCACGCAAAACAACAGATATCCTAGTGAGTATCCTAGTGCTTTCTGTTGATCCCCTTGCCTTTGTTTGACTATTGTGAACGCTTGCGTTTTGCAATGGAACCTTTTGAAACTGAGTAGGTTCACTTATCGAGGGTCGACGAACTCTGGGAGCTTGCTGGAGTTCGTTCCAAATCTGGTGGGCTGCATTGGGCGATCACGGCAGGCAGTGGTTCCAAGGGTAGAACAATTCTCAGGATCTGTTCTTTTCAGTCCTACGCGGTTTTTGCATGGAGACCCGACCGGCGAACTGGTGGGCACGAAGCGACGGTCCGAACGTTGGCCAGTGCTGGTGCATGGTCTGGATTTGCTGGATGGCACACCGGTCGTGGACGTGAAACCGTATGCCGGGGAGACCAAGGAGTGAATCTTCCGACGTTCTCAAACACCGTTGTCCAGAACGTTTTGTAGGTTTACAAAGAAACTCGGGCTGGTGTTTTTTGGGGGGTTGTCACCGGGTTTGCCAGGGTTGCGAATGGATTGTGAGAAGAGGGTTGGGAGAGAAGAGCTTGAAGAACCAATTTCAAAGGGAGCACCTCCAAAAGTCCTTCCTCGAATGTCCTTGAATTTCTTCGAATTCCTTCAAATTTGGGTTGCCTCGTTCCAATGGATGGTTGAGTGAAGGCACCATTTTCGGTCGAGGGGGGTATCAGTGAAACACGTGAACCCCCTTTCCTCCTTTGTACAGTGTATTGTACAGTTGTGGGAATCTCCAACATGGTGATTTGGGCATTGGCCCTTCCAGTTGCCTTTGACTTCTGTCTAAGTTTTGCCTGGCACCGGTTGGTTGGAGTCTGGTCCTAGTAACTATAAAACCTCAAGAATAAACGCCGTGTGATGACATGGAAATTATGTTGCACTTGAAAATCAATCCAACAATTTAACACGGTTGAACCATTCTTTACAGGAAGCGGGGAGCCCAAGGTAGACATCACTTTGGTTCTGTGATAAGTTTCTGAGGTGCCGTACTGCGACAGCTTTCCAGGCCGGACTGGGAGGATCAGAGAAGACATCATTCACATCCTCTCATAGCCACTGTTGTATTTTTGTCATGTGAGAACCTATGAGAATCTCACTGCATTAGATAGAACAGTACACAACACAAGGAGAACGCAAGCACTGTAGAGGTTTCCTGCAATGCTGCGTAATGGTATTTATGCCGTCCTAGGCACGCATCCATCCAAGCAAGAAACGCCCACAACCAACAGAAGATCGAAGATTGTAAGGATGGACCTTGCAATGATGGCTCATGTTTTCGCCCACAGACCTCAAGCTGGGCTTTCACCTCGTCATGCGAGGTGCACGAGCAGGTTGGCTGGATGAGATCGAGGATCAAGCTGAAGCCGACCATTTGAGCTATTGGCCGCCACCTAAGTCGCGCGCCCAGGATGCAGCTTCCAGAGGGTCGAACAAGTGGATGAGACAAAACGCATCGAAGGTTCATGGGTTCATGAAACAAGGGTGGAGGCAGTGGAGACCCTCGTTTGCATGCGAATCTTATGTGCCATATCACTCAAGAAAATTGAGCCTGGATCCATAATCCTTGCAAATTCCACCGGTGTTGTCAGCCGTTCCTTTCAACTTCTTCATACATAGCACATGGCCCATTGCATGCTGGTTAGGGTAGTGCGAACTCTGTGCACCCACCGCTGATGCTAGGCATTTGTCACCTGATGCTGTGGACAGAGAGGCGGCTGACGGCGAAGAAAAAGTCCTCCAGGAAGGGTGATAACACTTGCGGATACCTTGTTCGGCTAATGTCCTTGCCATTCTCGCAGCATGTTGCAGCAATTTTTGTTGGTTTGCAGTTCTCACAAGCCTCAAATGTCACTCAAAGTCCAACAGGGGTGGCACGGCTGTGGTGAAAGGCTATCCAGAGCGCAAGAAGGTAAGGATACAGCAAGTGGCTACAGATGTCAAGAAAAAAGAGCGGGTGGCTTTCAATGGGTTGCCTGGTGAAGTTTTTGCAAAGAAGATCAAAGACCTAAAGACCCCCCGCTGCCTACAGTACCTTTTTGATCCTTTTTGAGTTGTCTTGCGCAACTACCCTGTCTCCCTGTCAAAGCTCGATAGGGGACCGGAAGATACCTGGGATAATTGTAATTAGGGCTTAGCGATTCTTCTGCCAGCTAGACTCCTTGTCATTCTGTCCCTCCCGGTTGAAGGAGATAACGTCCTGCAGCAGGAAGCAGGGAAATCCATGGGAAAACCACTTTGACGGTATCGCTGATATCCCTTAGACTGCAGTTTGATATACTGTATACTTTTTCTGAGCGATTCCACCAAATAACTTTTGGCTCGAGTCCAAAGACTGTTGGCTGGGCAAGCTGCCAGCGGGGATCTCAGGTGGGTTGCAGACACACTAGCGAGAGATTTCTGTAGGTACCCCAAGAATTTGTTCAAACATGAGGAGAGGGTCAGGGTGAATCAATTTGACTGGTAAGAGAAGTTGCGGAACATGAGTCGGAATGTTTGTCCAGTTGCGTGCGTAGCATAATATGAATTATATATTATATTGTAATATGCATGAGGAATCAGAGAGGCTGTTTCAACCTGGATCATCGATCATCCTGAAGTTGAGAGGAGAGGACAAAGCCGTCCTGAAATCACGTCCTGGTGAGCTGGTTTGGACAACACGGTTCCTGTACCGACATTTGATTTGTTGATGTGAGTCACCGGAAACGATCCACTGAAGTATGTTCGTATGATGCTCGATACAAAATCATACAAACATTATCAAACACACATAGACATAGATATAAAAATACCAGCACGAACACATGGTTCAAGAAGGACGTGTCTAGTGATTATACCTAGATACCTATAGATACCTGACCTATAGATACCTATAGATCATAGATCTATGTCCAGATCAAACACATAGGTCGTTGGACGCATCTTGGAACGTGTTTTCGACTTCGCTGGATCGAGGCCATTGACCAGTGATCTGATGTCAGCAGCAGGCAAAGTTTTGGTGTGTTGATCATTCATGGCTAAGTGCATGGATGTTTACTGGCGTAGTGGCTTAAGTCGCAAAGCAAGTTTTCTTTAGGGAGTTGTAGGAACATATAAGGACTATGGTGCTAGTGTACTCACTCAGCTTGCCGTGCTTTTGTGGAATAAGAATTGTTGGAAGAACTCGGCTGGAAATAGGGACATTGAAGGAGAAGCACGGATAGTGATGCTTTGGGATGTTGTTCACTTGTTCCAATGTTCACCCGACACCAAACCCTGGCTATTAAAGTGGCAGGACTTCAATCCACTGGGGCCCGGCCACCAACTTCCATGAGCCACCTGTCGTATCCCTTTGGCCAGGATTTTTTGTCTCATGAATCCTCACACATATATATATATATATAATCATACATATTATATGCCATATTTGACAAAATGATCACATACGACATCACTATGCTGTATACTGTATATTTACATATAACTGTATCAGGTTTTACGGTTTTACACTACATACATTTCCAACCGGATCCAACGCACAGAGTGAGCTCGTTCGAGGTAGAAAACAAGAAACATCACACGCAGGCTGTTGCGGTGCAACTGAAACGGAGCCGCTCATGGCCGCTTGGACGCTGCTCACAAGAGTGACGATGGAGGGAAAATGCCGCCCCATGGTCCCAGCTTTCAGCACCTTGAAAACCTTGCTACTAGTAGCTTCTTGGTACTAGTGGCGATGGCGTCCAACCTAATAGCGATGGCCGGTATAGAATCAACTCTCCAACATATCCGAGGTCTTTCAAGTGGTCCTTATTAATGGTGCGTTTAACTTTTCAACGTTAGGGGACAATGGTCAAGCCCATGCAGTTCAACATGAATGCAGCACTTTAAACTACAGTAAACGCACAAGCAATGCCCTCACGTGATCATCAAGCATCCGAATTTTGCCTGGCAAGTTCTCTCACTCAAGGGGAGAGTACAACCTACTGTACAATGACCTCAAGGCCAGAAGTTGAGATGGAACAATAAGGCGTTGGGCCTTCCTTGCCCTTGCAGAGCCATGGTGATATCTCCACAGGTGTCCTGTTCCACCCTGTGACCAGATGCCATTGCGCCGGTTCCCCCACCATGACCAGAGCAAACAAACTCGATCCCTTTGAGACAAAGTGATCATAGTGACGCCGAACTGCTCGGTTATCAATGGCATGCCACCACTGGGGCCTGAAGCTTGTGGGGATTCCATTGCAGTGGCGTAAGGTTGCATAAGCAGTGGTGTAAGCAACCCCTCCGCGTAAGCTAAGACTGCAGTCGCGTAAGTGCTGCGGCAGCTTTTGTGTTCACGCCATGTGTTGTGACGGAATCTATCGAAGGTCTCAGAAACGCTCAGGTGATTTGCTTGTTTGGTCATTTCCAAGACTCGAACTGGATTAGTTAACTACAACGCCCTTTGTTGGTGGTAGATGAGGAGGGCAAGGCTAGATTACGAGGGGAAAGGAAAAGTCATGCTGTTTGAAAGATGAGAGAAGCCATATTAGTTCAGCGACCAAGACTAATTAGGGTTTTGCTTCCCAGACGTGCCTGTGCATTGGAAGCGCGTGACGAACCCCAGATGCCGATCCTTATTTCGCGTCCGGCAACGTGTTGAGGCCTCGAATGGGCTCATGCCACCGACAAGTACGGACCGACACACGCACCGTCGTTTTTCCTCTCTTTATTTTGGCGTATGTGTGCGCATGTCGGCGTGTGATGAGACCCGTGATAGAGCAATCAGACCACAAAAGCTCGAAGGTGCCGGCTCAAATGCCAAGGGTTTCACCTCAAAAAGTGTCAGACTTGATTGGTCTAGCTGTTTTTGGGGTGTGTTTGGCGAAGTGGACAATATGACAGAAAGAATGCTGCACGAGGTAGCTCAGCAAAACAATCCTTCTTGAAAGACCACCTGCTCTCGCCAGCTCTCTCCGGCTGAATCTGGCCGTGTCCATCACCAGGAGATGCCCAGCGCGATTTGTTCAGTCCATGGGGTCTTTTGGCTCACGGTGTTGGCTGGCATTGCAGTGGCTGGGCTGCAGGGATCGCGGGGATCGGGGATTGATATTTTCAGGGGGGATTGTATATATTCATGGTTTTTTTGGGCGTTCTTGGAATCTTTGCACAGACTGAGGATCCTCAAAATCGACCATTACGACAAGTGTGTGTGTATATATATATAGTAATTATTGGTATACATTAATTATACATAGACTGGCAAAGGATATGACAAGAACGTCCTGTTGGGGCAGGTTGTCAAGACAATTTGCAGATCATCCACATGCATTTGTTTGTTGTCAGTGTTTCACGCACTCTTTGCTCATAAGGTACCTTTAATAGATAGTGTCACTGGTGGGCAATAGCACAAAATATATGGGTCGCCGTGAACACATCTCAGCATGCCAGATGGCCATCGTGGATGGCACAGTGCTGCAAACTTGGTGGGTTGCTTGGCAAGGACTGATGGCTGTCACCGTCCACATGGTGGAAATGGGATCAGCGTGTTTGCATTGTTGCTGGATATGTTTTCAAGGAGTTGCTTTTGCAGTACACTGGCTCACATGCGAGCATTGGACAGCGGATTTCTACAAATGCAAATTTAAAGGTTGACAGGGGCCCAACCAATACCCTCTCGCACACAAGTGAGAAACCCACAGGACAAAGGACTGGTTCCGAGATGTTGCAAATGTCGCTTTGCATTCATTTGCATTCCTGATTGTGTTTCCGATGTCTACATGCAGTGGCTGAGTCTTGGGTGTTCCTGCAAGCACGGGGATGTTGTGAAATGAGACATTTCCTGAAGTTGAACAATGGTGCTGGGTGTTTCAACGGGGTTTGAACTGGGGGTGTTTGTAGATGGAAGGTATATATATATATATATTAACCAGAATCTTAGTCTGAGAAAACTGTATCTTGGTGTGTTATGTAGGGAATGGAGGTTCCAAAATGGTAACCCAGCACCAAGCTGTTGGTCTAGTTGGTGCTTTGTGGTAATGCGTCGTTCAAGTTTTGCCAGCGGTTGAGTCATAATAATGCTTTGGGGTAGATTGTTATATAGCTTAGCACAATAATGGTGGACTCTTGATTTGCCAAAACCCCTCTTCAGGTGATATCCAACAGAATCAAAGCCTCAAACCCCAATCATCCTTTTTGTTATGTATCCTTGTGTTCATGTTCTTCATGTGTTGAGCTTTCTTTTCTCACCAAAAATATATGTAAGAGGTTACTTTGGCAACTTGATCCTAAAAGTGTGAAACTGTCAGAACAAATCAAACAACCGCTTGAGCAGTCTCAAAAATACAACCTTCGACCTTTTTGTAGGGGTTATTGGGAGGTGAGTAACTCAGGATTTGTTGCAGAGCCAGATGAGAGCGATACCCACCGGACTGATGTTTGCCCATCAGACGAGTCAGACGCGAAACCCACAACCTGGCTCGGTCTCACACTACCCCCAGACTGGCCCACCATGTAACATGGTGCAACATGGTGCAACTTTTTGTCTATAGAGTTGTGTAAAACACCTTTTATTCTGAATGACGTTACAGCTAAGCGGTAACCCACAATCCATGTTGTTATTATTCAAGACAAGTAAATCAATGCCTGCTCGGACTCCTCACCAAATCATCCAATTCCATCCCGTTGCAATTCTGTCCCAGATTATTCCCGTGGCACTTCTAGCGCCGTTGCTGTTTGCCGCTGGGCAGCTGGGTAATGTTGGAACTAATGCGGGCTCGTTCTTTCTATGTCCAGTCTCCTGTCATCTTTTGTCCTATCAAGTGATGCACACCCACTTTGTTTTTTTTAACCGCCTGGAATTTGCATCAGCTTTGGCCAGACGATGAGATATTATTGTATTGTCAATTTGTGCATTTCATTGATCTCGCACAAAAGGACCAAGATCTCGAGTCAATGGGCTATGTCCACGGAAAACATAAACAAGTGAGGCACATCACATCCACTTATTTGTGGGGCTGCAATTGCCACAAGTAGGGTTGTGACACCACACGCAGTGTCGTGTTGCTGTCATGATATTCACTGGACTGGATGCGACTGGATGGACCAATGTCGAAGGCCTCGCTTGTCACAGAGTCCAAATATATCCAAAGATGCTTTCCCAAATGAAGATGGCCGGCCAGAAGTTTGCCAGAACCTTGCTATACCTCTGCTACCTTGGGATACTTTGGGTATCCAATCGGTACCCAAGGGTCTAACGGCCTAACCATCCAACTGTGTGAGTGTTGGGGACTTTGGATCGTATCACCACGATGGAACGGAATCGAAACGCAAGTGGTGCACGTGGTTCCTGGGGGATGGCCTTGGGTTCAAGGCTGATGGCGGGAGGGCACTCATTGCAGGACACTCATCCCAGGTCAACATTCGGATGTTGAATGTTGGTTGTTGGGTGTCGGTCCATTGGGATGTGGCCCGAAAGAATCAGACCCATAATGGACCCACCGGATTGTTGATTTCCTTCTACCTACTTAAAATATCACTGATGGGCTTGAGGACACTCTCCAGATAGGTTTTTCTTAATTCCCAGCACTTCTGCCCCTCGCCGGCGAAGCCTCACGCAAGGTGTTCAGCTTTACCCTGGTGATTTGTGTTGCGCCTATGTGTGGCTCGCCCGAAAGAAGTCGAGAGGCCGCCAAAAATGTCTCAGAGGGTAAACATTTACCCCAAAATGAGCAGGTTCGACCTTTCCCAAAAGAATCCATGTGTGTGTTTTTGTAAGAGTCATCCATCTTTTCATCGCTCTGTATGGGGTTTGTCCTATTACCTGTTACAGTCAGTAAAGAAGAACATCATTTTTGAACAAGGCCTTTACTAACCATCATCATCCACTGTTACAGGTCACCCAAGCTATATCTATCGATGTGCTTAGCTGCTGAGCCTTGGACCTGATAAATCGGCCTCCTCAGTTCCATGGATCACCTGCGTGTTAATACTGTTAGGTCAAACACGGTAGAACTATTGGCGGCAACACGTGACGCTCTTGGTGAAGATTCTTGCTAAATACCGATACCATTGGATTACTCCTAACATGGTTCTTCTTTTTTTTGGGGGGGGGTGGGCACCTTCCATGGGCTTCCATGGGCGGCTTTACACTGGTGGGCACCGGGGGGACCTGGGAGACTGTGTCACTGAGAAACGGAGTCCCGGTCACCCGGTCACGTTTATCTCGGACTGTCTGTGCGAGTGCAGCACGCATGTTTTCCGGGAAGGAGCGTTTGCCTGGTCACATCATGTTTACAACTGTTCCGCGAAACACACGTCATCGAATTCAGGTATTTCCCCGATCAGCATGTGAACCACCTTGCAAGACCAGAGTGGCTCATCTATTGCATCTCCCCTAAATCCCAAACTAACATAATACAGCACCCGCCAGATCTCCGCCTGTTTGTTGGTCTTTTCTGGTTTCTCGCTTTCTGGTCTTCGCGGCGCTTGGCTTTCCTACGCATTCCCACGCTTTCAGCATTGGGTGGCAGCGCAACACATTCTAACCTGCTCCGCCCGCTCGTCGTGCGCTCCCGGTCAAAACCGCTCGACGGTCCAGGCGGTTGTTTTGCGATGTCTTCACGCTTGCAGACCAGCTTGGTTCAGCACCCAGAGCCTCGGCATGCCGAGAAAAGACCAGAGTGGTTCTTTTTTTGAATCCCTTCCACCTACTAAGAACAAAGGAGGGGCTGAGGGGCCCTCCCCCTAGCAAAAAACGAAAACTCCGGTTGATATGTTTTAAATACAGGGGTCCCACAGTAGGGGGCGGCGGGGCAAAGATGGGTGGAAACCTGGGAACAGCATGGAAGAGCTTCAAACGCAATAAAGACACATCCTGGGACAGTTTTACACAAAATATCATACCATCATGTATTCAACATATACCAAAACTGGGAAGACGTTCCAAATCAAAGGGCTTCACTTTTCTGTTTGCAAGACCCTTCATCGAAATAAGGATTCTTAACGTAGCAACTAAAGATTTTGACGGGTGATGTCGCTGGGCCATGCAATTTGGCGAGGCCTTCGTGGAAACTGCATTGGTGTGTCTCCGTGCCATTGGGGAAAGGGACACATGCATATGTAAACGTGGCATGTTCGATGGTGATTCAAGTGGGTGGGTGCATACTATAAATAAGCAGTGCAAAAATTACCTTGGGGTGCATTCTTGTATAGTAAGTAGAGGTAGCATGTAAAAAGCAGATGCAAATAATATCAAATATTCAAGCAGCATGTAGGAGTGCCCCACATGAGTTTTTTGACGTTCTTTTCGTCTAGGTAACCGCGGCTTGTAGGAACGATCTCTTATATAGCTACCTGCCGGGTCGCAGGGGCATGGAACTGGGAGGAAGCTGATGTGCCGAATGTGAAGACGTTTGTTTACCCTGTTCTTCCGTTTGACGCTTTGAGTAAACATGAAAAGTCACGGAACCGTGGCAGTTCAAGCACTTGGTGTACAAGTATCTATTTTTGACAGTGGACTCAGTGGACTGATATTCACTCACTGTGTGACAGTGCTCGAGCCCCACATCCCACCCTCCAATAGCTATTTAGATATGATATCGTTCTTCCCCGAGACATTGTTCTTAGTGGGGGGTTGAACCCCTGTTGACAAGAACTCATCAAAGACACGATTGCGGATTTCCTGCTTCTTTTCCTGGGAAGATAATCGTGTCGCCACTAGATCGTGTTCTTTTTTCGGTGAACTTCCCGATCCCCAACTTTTTTTCTGAAAGAAAGACACGAAAGCGCCACCTTGGATAGGGAACGCTCCACAACAACCGTTTGTCCGTAGAGAAAACCATGCAGACCGATGGGTGCAGTTGCAGTCTTCAGATGTCTTCAAGTCTGCCCGTTGGCACCATCGGTTCCCTGTCACTGTGAGTCACATGAGGGGCCCACCCGTTGGCACCAAGTGCGAGGGGGCCGTTTCTCTCACCTAGACGACTTGGACTTCTACCAGACCCCGGTGTTGGAACTGGTTGAAAGGGCTGTCCATGGGAGGAGTTTCACACGACTTGGTTCAATGTCTCCGGCTGGTCTCATTGTGCAAAGAAATCTATAGGACCAATTCATTGAGGCTCAGGCTGCTTCCTTGGTCAGCCCCCCTTCGTTCAGGTTTCTTGAGCTTCCTTGAAGAAGCTACACTCTGACGAACACATCACCTGGTTAATGTGGATGACATGGTCATGCATGGTAGGCTACTGTCCTTGACGAACAGGGGGGGCTTCCCACTTCCATGTGAGCTACTTCCTCACAGTCGACCCCCGACACCGACAAGGTCGCCTGGTCGACCGGATTCGTCGCCGGTTCGTCGTCGCACTGAGAAGCACCTCTTGAGCCGCCTGGCGGGGCGACCTGGGACTCAAACGCACCACCAGGGAGGTGAAATCTTTGAGGAAACCAACAAAGCAGGTTTCTGTTGTGCACGGTGTCAACTTGACACCCCAAATGGGAATGTATTGGAATGTATTGGAAATACGTGCCACGATCTATTTAGGGAACCACTATAGTCATAGACAGTCTGGTGGCGTTTGATGATGCTACTTCTTTTTTTGTGGGAATGTTGTATAGTGAGGATGTCGGTTCCATCATATCCAAACCAAAGTTGTTGCCTTGGACAACGCTCCTCCGCCTCCCTCACGAGGTCAGCCAGAGGACCATACCCCCAAAGGGGTGTTATTAAAATTTATTAAAGATGACGTGTTGTCTTGCTATGAAATCACATGGTATTGCATCGTATTGCAGTGGTGCTTCCTCACCTAGTTTTTGCTCAGTGCGCCGAACATAAGAGGCATGAATGGAAACAGGCTAAGCATACACACACGCCACGAGTTGTTGGCTGTGCCGTAGCGATGGTGTTTGGCCCACTGTCTCAGACAGTCTTAGGTGTTTTTTGCTTCCTTATATCATCAACCCATGTTCCTGGAGCGAAACAACGTCCCACGCCACCTGTGCCATCTACACAAAACACCCGAACGACAACCTCAGACGTGGTGACTTCGCGGCGTCGCGAGACCTCGGTGTCGCGAGGTCTTCTCGGGTGTCGGGTCCAAACATCCCGGTGTCGTGTGTGGGGCACGAAGAGGGATCTGGATCGAATAAGGTTGCGACTCGAAAGGCTACCCTTTTTGAGACCAACGAGAGACCTTCGACTAAAAAAACTGAAGCCACTTCTAATGATTCCTGACACAAGCCAACCGCTCGGTGGTGTCCAGATACACTACGACATGCACGTTCAAGTTTCTCATGTGTTTGCTACCCGCCGCTGCCCATGCGCCAGACCTTGCCATGGATCACCGTCATTCAAGGTGCTTGCGGAAACGGCAAGACACCAATTCTTCTATTTCTTGCGTTTTGAGGGACAGGCGATTTGGGATTGGCCATTGGGTATTCTCCAAACCTCCCAGAGAGATATATGATGCGTTTATTGGGAAGACAAGATGTGATATGTTGGTATTAGTCAGTGTTGTGACTTTATTGTTCGTTTGTTTGTGTGCGTGTCAATCGCAAGACATCATTGGTGATGGACATGACGTAGATCATTCTGTTGCACCACGACTGTTGAAGCTTCACTTGACAAAATCAGCAGTGTCTGCATTAAATGCCCGGTGTTACAAGCTGAGCTTTGCAGTTTTGCGCGAGAGATTCACCCCACAAGAGCTGAGAAGTCTTGGCATCCCTTCGACCGCAGGTTTGCATATGTGCGACAACGCGTACTGCCAACGCATTAGGCGGGAAGCGCGCAAACCAATAGTTAGTCAGTCGAGGTAGATAGAAAATGATAGAAACTTCACCCTAAACACGTCCTCGTGAGGGGTCTGGATTTGCCGAGGTGAGCTCTGTTGTTTTGAGTTTGTGTCGATGCCGGACAAAGGCTGCCAAATCCAGCATCGACACAAGGGAGGTCCGTTGCGTTCAAAGGGCTGCTGAGAGATCCGAGCTACCTGAGTTTTATGTTGATAAAGGTGTTATTCTTTCAGTGGATAAGCAGTGAGCCCGAAGCACTACTTTATTGCCGACCAACTTAAGGAAGTCTGTTTAGTTGGACCGACTTGAAAATAGTAGTAACAAGTGCATCGCTTCTAGTAACAAGTGCCTTCCGAGTAGTAACAAGAAGCTATTAGAAACAAGTGCCTTACTACTAGTAACATTTGGGTGTTAACGTACCGAGGGGAAGCATCTCGACGTGTCATCGCGCTTGCGAATTAGGCGGACGTAGACACTTCGACACTTCGACAACTTGACCGGTCTTCTTGTGATTTAGTTCTACCTGGAGAACGTGGTGTGCTATTTAAATAGTACACCAGTCACTGTGCACCATTTTGTGTGGAGCATGCGCCCAAGACCTGCTGGCATTTGGAACTGTCATGCACAGCAATACTGCATGGATGCCATCATTTCAATTTATGAAAAATAGGTGCAACCCTGCCAGTCATACTCCACTTCATGTGTTCCCTTCCCTGATCCTGCATCCGCGGCCCGACCCAAGCCTCGACCTGCTGAGTGGCCAGAAGCCCAGCTTCGTAAGCATTTGTTCCACCTTTTTCACCCGGAAAACCCGCCAAACCTCCAAGGCTCGATGCTTGGGCAAGGACTGCAGTGCACCAAACAGATCTATAGCAGTCGATCGAATCATGAAAATGGTTAGAAGCACTCGACATATGAATCGTTTGTGGCGCACAGAAGCAGGGGGATATATACAGATTCACCGGGACCACTGGGCTTTCAGCGCCATTTGGTAGCGGGAAATGGTCCGCTCATGAAGTGTGCGCGCGTGCACTCGTCTACTCATAGCTGCTACGCGGCCAACGAAGTCCTCATCCATTTGAGTTCCCCAAGCCAGAGGGTTTGGGACTCTAGCTTTTGCAGCGCGAACAGTGGCTATCTCGTAGAGAATTTTTCCTAGCATATGATACTTTGGCTGTAGCTTCCATCTCGTCAGAGCCCACTCATAGGACCATTCCGCAAGTGTCATGAATGCCTTCAGGCACCGCCTCCCATGGGCCAAAACAATGTGGGCCTCATCATCCGTAAGCCAAAAATTTGCTTTGTATAAAATGCTGAGGAACGCATTTGCGCTAGAAATGGCCGAGTAGGCCTCAGCGAAGTACAGGGACACATCATTGTCGTCAATCTTTGGAAGCTCGTCTTTCACTTTTGTCTCAAGGTAAATCAGCAAGGTTGTTGTGTCGGCTCCTTTGAACCAGCTCCTGAGACAAACCCGGCACACCTGCATAGACATGAAGAATACTCAGATATTGAAACAAAAAAAAACTTGCGCATAATTTTGCCAGGCCACCCTGTCGGGAAGCTACTTGACTTTGGAAAGCCAAGAAGGGTCTTTGTGAGGGCGACCATGTTCAACTCAAGCGATTGTCGGGCACAAAACTCCTTCAGGTCAGCATACACAAGCTCACAAAGCGTATCCACTGAGCAATCTCCCACGAAGACTTGAAAATCATAGAAGTTGACCTTGCAAAAACACACACACAAAGAAAAGGCATGCACCACACCACACCACAGGAGGAAACTTGCATCTCCCATGATCAAAAAAAAAGTCATACGAAGCAAAAACAAGATGCTATGCAATTTGCAGCGATGTCCGCCATCACGCCTTTGTGGCACGTATGGAAGAGATCAACTCTGAAGAACTGGGCCTGCAACTCCTCTGGAATGCGCAGTGGCTTCAGCAAGCTTGGCGTTTTCTTCCACGGAAGCGGGGCTCCTTGACGCAGCTTCTTCATATTCGTGTGCCTCACATCGTGCCATGGCTGATTCCTCTGGCCACCCAAGCAGAGATGACATATTCCAGCACCATCATCTTTAGTTGGTGTGTCTCGCCCATGGTGTCGTGCCATTGAAGCCACCTTCGTGAGGGCTGGCCAATCGCCCTTCATAGCAACTGGAACCAGCCAAATTGTTCGGTCAATTCCGTCCAGCCTGACATTGAAGCCACCGTTCATGGCAGAAGCAAGGTCTTCACCCAAATGAGCAAATAGTGCAAGCAGGGGCTTGTGGCGGCCCACCATCACAGAGTACAAGTTTCTCGTCCCAATCGAAACTCCTAAGTAATTCACTCCTGGCTCTGAATTACGCTGTCTTTTCCTTGTCCCTCTCCCGAGGATGCTCTGGTATTGAATGATCATCAAAGGTCTTTTCTTCTGGCCAGTGCCTTCATCGCAGTGAATCGCAATTGGAATCGACCAATCCAGTTTTGAATCATCGGCATTCAGAAAAATAGGGCGCGTCGGCTGCAATTGCTGCCACCTGGTCCAGAATTGGTTGAAATCTTTGCTACGGTTTCCCATCAAAAGAAAATCTAGCTTGCCATGAGCATCCAGCGTCGAAATAAAATCTGAAATCTTCAGAATTGGGTGTGGGGCGCCCAAGCCAACATCCACGTGGCTCATGGGAATCCCTGCCGCCAAGCCCATCTTGGGAAAATGGCTGCTCAACTCACATTCAAGGCGTGTCTCGGACAACCTCGATGCCAACTGAAAGAAGCCAGCGCTCGCAACCTGGTCGGCTCCAGGAAGGTTGACAACTTCTTCCCAAAAAGCTTTGGCAAGCGTGCATGCCTCGCGTTCGCTCACCTTGGCAGAACGGCATGCGCATGCACATGCACATTGCGCAGTGCAAAGCTTGATGTGGGAAGCCTTGTGTGTGTGCGCACTAGCAATACCAATTGCAATTCATGCATGTTTGATGTTTCCTCTATACTTTGTTTGGAGACGTTGGAAGGACCACGAAAAACACATAATAAAAGCATTGTGCGTCAGAACGTTTAATATACCTATAGTATATGGGAGGTCAAGGCGCTCCGTTTGCCACAGCCGCAGCCACGGCCTTTGCAGCAGGACCTTTTGCCTCCTTGCCTTGCTTTGGAGCTGCAGGAAGCGAAGGACTGGCACCTGCGTGGGTTCTGTTTTGTTTTCTAAGGTTCTGGACCACTGGACTCTGGGTGTGAGGGCTCCAACATGGTTGCATGAGTGAAAGGTTTGTCAGAGCATCTCCGTGTGGGCTTGCCGTTTCAGAACTCTCCCAACTCAAGCGGTCGTCCGTTTGTACCAAAGTCAGCTATGGCAGAGCTGACTCTTGAATTGCAGCTATTGTGCTAAGAAAACCGCCAGCTTGAAACCCACCCCTGCCAAAACAGCGACTAGTCAACAGGATTTGTACTCTTGCAAAGAAACAATTGTATTCTAGCCCTTTAAAAGTGAAGTGGACCGATCTCATTCATCAGATTCGGGCGGGCTCGCGCGCAGATTTGAAAGCATGCGCAGCTTTGAGAAAAGCTTGCGCGGACCTGGGAGGGTGTGCGGCAACACGGCAGGACACGTGGAGCAATCACGATTGTTGAGAAGACTGAGCCTGGGGCCCCAAAATAGATGCAAGAGACCAAGATGTTCCCCTGTGCCAAGTGAGGGCTGGAGAAGTAAACAAAAAGTATGAGACATGCACACATGAAAGGACACATAGAATCTCTATACTGGCCTTACTTGGCACCTCGCTTGTTCTTCTTAAGCTTCTTTCTGGATGGCCCCGGGTCAGCGTCATCAGCTGACCTTTTGGACTTCGAGGCTTTCGCCTCTCGCCGTGAAGGTTTCCCCTTCTCTTGCTTTTTGGCAGCCCGCTTGGGCTTCGGCCGCAACAGAGTCCTGTTGCCGAACAAATCTCGGGACTGGAGTTCCTATAGGTGAGAAAAACAGATTTGATCGGCGGGTCTAGGGCCAAGGCTTCTTGATTTTGACTTCCTCCATCAAAGCCCTCGAAGTCCTATTCAGGCTTACTTTGCATCAACCCCGTCAAGTCCGAAAGTGATCTAATCTTTGCGGATCACAGTGAGGCTCGGACTCTACCTCGATCGCCTGGACCGTCTTGCGAAGCTCCTCAACCTTCCTTGGAGGCTCGATGCCGGTGTCCTTCGTTTGATGATGGAGGGGCTTGAAAACGTTCAACCTAGATGGTGCGAGGGATTTGACCATAAATAAGAGTCGATTAAATCCCTCTTACGGCGGCCTATTCCTGAAATGGTTTGGAAGCTTAAGGCCTAGAGTCTTCGAATCAAGCTTGGACTCATCCTGAAGCTTCTCACCATCAAAGAACGATTTAAGATCAGCCAACTTGTCATGCAGAGCGATCATATTCTTGCAGTATTTCTGCATTTGATCGAGGCTCCTCCAAAACAAGAGGACAACATACATGATCATGCAGGACTATGTTTTCTTTTTTTGACAAGTGTAGTGTATGTATATATGCAGTTCTAAAGAAACCGCACACTAATTGGAACATCTCCTTTTGCCCTCTGGTGACTTCTCTTCCTCAAGTCTCTGGACCATCATCTCACATTTGGCCTGGGTCTTGAGCAGGTTCTTCATGACTTCACCAACGTTGTCGACAGCCTGGAGACCAAGAAGGGAGAGGAAATGAAAAGAAGGGGACAGGTGTTGCATGGTGTTGCACATGCCAAAGTATGAAAGCCTGACCTCGAAAGCAGATTGCCGTTCACAGTCGTCACGTCGACACCCTTTCGACTTGGAACTAGCGTTATCATCAACCTCCTCCAAGTCATGGTCAGTCCCTTCGTCCTCTGGCATCCCCTGGGTCAGGGATGTCGAGTCTGTGATGCCCAGATCGAAGCTCCCAGCATCACCCTCGCCACAGGTGCTGTCGATCAGCATTTCTGAGTGTTCGTTCTCTAGCCCTCCCGTCGTTTTGATGTCAACCCAATATTCTTTGACGTCCTTCTCATATTTGTCCCTCCTAGCAGTGGCAGACTATGTGACACGTTTGAAAACCAAGTGCAAGTCTTGCTGCAACACACCCACTCCTCACATGGGTTCGCACCCTTGACGCATGCGAGCAATAAGCCACCACAGCTTGGATACGCTTCCTAACAAAGCCACCCCAAAATGTTGAAAGTCAAACCCCAACTATACATGCATTTTGATTGGCATATTGATTCGAGGAACGGAGAAAACTTCAATTCCGTTTTCATCTTCTCCTTTGTATACCACCCTGACTCAACATTGACTTTGGACTTACGGAGCCGTGTTTGGATGTGCTTCACTTCCTTCTTGAAGGCGTCCTGAAAGATGAGGTCACGATTGTTTCATGATTCATGATCCTTTCTTGAGAACAGTCGAACAAAAAACATGTGCATACATGCATGCATGCTTTGCATTTTCGTTAGTCACAATCCTTGTCCCCATGATTCTTGACAAAAATGTTGAGCAAAGCCTTCCGTGGTTCTCCACCTTGAAGCCACTGCTTGTGTACCTCAGGGCTTACCTCAAGTTTCCCGGAGCTTTTCTTGGGACAGCACAAGCGTTTCAGGGCAGCAGAGAGCTTCTCGAGCGATTTCTTGTCATCGATGTCTGCCTCCAAAAGAGCAAAACTAGTAACAAAACTATATAAGCCTTGGAAAGCCTTGACTTGTACACTTGCACATGGTTCTCACAGTGCAGGGGGTTCTCTAACAAGTGGAACACAAGGGTCCTCTGTGCCCGTCTTTCGCTCTTCTTCGGGCTCCGCCACCTCACAAAATTGGAAATGCTGCAAGATGGCTTAGACAGAAAACCTGTGCCATGCACCAATAGACTCCCGTTTGGCATTATTACAAAGTTGTCCTATAGATTCAATCGAGGATTTGATTTGCATCTTTCAGTTTGACATGGAAGATGTTGGCGCTCATTGCCTCCTCCAAACGAGACTTCAAATCCCTTCGCGGTGAAATGTGTTGGTCCAAGCTCTCCTGGAACGCCAAGGCAAGAAAGGCTACCACGCCACCGTGTTTCAATCTTCACTGCCAGAGGCTGGGGGATGCAGGGGTGTTGGAAACTCAAGGCCCAGCATGCGCTCATGTCAGGCCAACCCAAACTGTGTCGTCCTCGGAAGCCAAGCTTTCACATGTCCTTTGCTGTTGGACGGACCCCCGACAACAGATCAGTCCTCGACTTGGGTTTGTGCCACAAAACCAGGTCCAAATGTAGTCTCGTTTGAAGACCTGGCGCCACCAGTCGGAGCAACACGCCGAGTGGGCTCTTTTGTTGTAGGGGTAGGTGTCGGAGGAGCTGATGACGATCGCTTCTTCTCAAGTTCATGAAGGTGACCCTTCGCAGCCTCAGGACGCCCCTCTAGAGAGCGAATGGGTTTTGGGTAACACTAGACGAACTTTGGAAGGAGGCTCGCACATACATATATATAATATATATACTATAGAACCTGCATGAATGAAAACCAACAAAGATAAGAGACCTCAAGTACATCGTCAAAAGTCATCTTGGCATTTTGGGACTGTTGCTCTAAAAGGTAGGATCGCCCTCGAAGCAAGCTAGCGCAAGACCATTGACGGGATGCCAGCGCTAGTGGTGGCTCGCTCATTGTGGCACCTAAATTAAAGGGGAACGGACCTGACCTGACCTGACCTGACCAGGCTTCAAAAATGGCTTCGGATGGCTGCGGTAAAGTAATGGCCAGGAATGCTCATCACCTGAACCACATGCTTCAAAGTGCGGGGCTCAAGCTGACAGAGCTGGAAGGTTTTCGCATCCTTTTCAAGCAGCGTGGAGAGTCCACGGGCACTGGGACCGGGATCCTAAGATCCTGGGGGTTGCACATGGTACCCGAGCTCTCGTAAACCCCGTGACGAAGCTGCAAGGTTGGTTGAGCTTGAAAAAAACCATTCAGTCGTGAATTTACGAGAGCACGAAAGTGTACTAAAATAGGCACCAATTACCGACGGCAAAAATAGCGACCTTGATCGCCTATAGTATACGCCTATTCCCGTTTCCTGCCACTGTGTACTATTTTCCTATGAAAATCATTGAAAAACATAAAAACCACTTTTGAAACGTAAACAGCCATTCGGAAAGTCCAAAACTGGCACGCACCCTTCACTTCAAGTGTTCCGATTGGTTTTCCGATTGGGTATACTAAACAAGAGTGGTGGAAGGGATGGCAGCCCGGGAACTATGGCTTGAAAAGGGGCCGCCACTCTGGTGACAGCTGCAACCCTTTACATCCATACAAGTATTCCACCACCTCACTTATTCTGGCATCCTCCCACTGATCTCCAAGGTCAGCTGCCAAGATGTCCTCGACACCAATCAGGTCAGGAACCTCAGGATTGACAAGAAGGGCCAGGGCCAGGGTGATGTGAGGATGTGGAAGAAACATACATGCAGCGGTTCGAAAAGCCCTGTCTTGTGAATATGTTTCAATGGGAAAAACATCCATGAAAAGTCCAGTACACATCGAATTTCATTGCATGGGCAAAGCGGACCCCATATCGCAAAGTATATTGCCTTGGCAACATGTCAAACGTATGCAGTGCTTTTGGGATAGGCTTCAATGCATTTCCTTGCAACCCTAAACTCGATGAGACCCCTCTCACAAACCAACTATATATTAGATAGTATTTTAAAGTCGCACAGCTTCACGTGTCCAAACCCATTCAAACTAGGGTTGTGACTGGGATCCCTTTAGAAAGCGGTTGCCTTTGAAGCGGCGCTTCCCATGACGATCCACGTACTGATCGGTCAAAGGCTGATGTTTCTTGCCCTTCTTCGTCTTTTTGTCCTTGGCCTTTGTCTTGAACACGCGAATGGCTGTGGAATTGCTCCACAGAATCGTTCGCTTTGGGGTAGGGGCATTGTAGCCAGACATCCAGAAGGAAACCTTGAATACCTGGGCTGCGTTTTTCTGTCAACAAGGGATGGGAAGGTTTTGAAAATGTGCCATACTGAAAACAAGCAATCCTTGGCAAGGCTGCAGTCATCAAGCGCAATAGTTGATTAAATCGCGGGTGCCTATACAAGAGGCTGCTTTTTGGCTGCTCGATGACAAACGTGCCTCCCCTGGCAACGATCAACAATATCGCCAATGCTATCCTGGCCAACATCCCCAAGGTTTGGTTGGTGATTTCCACAGCACTCCCAAGGTACACAGAACGATTATGCACTGGGGCTGTCCTTGACATGAGGATATTACCCAACTGAACTGATGGTGCATTTTGGTCACCCAATGGCAGGAAATAGTGTCGATGCGTGCTGCCACGACTAACAGCCACAAAGCTGCTGCAAACAATTGCAAAAGAGAACACCGCGTCTGGAGCGCTTTGCAAAATCGTCATGATGAGAAGCCTGAGAGAAGCGCGCGCTGAGAATGCAATTGTGACCCATGAAAGGTGGATGAAAGGTCATGCGCATAGCCATTGGAGGAGTCCGTTCCCATGTTGGACTAGAGCAATGAATGGTGGTGATGCCACTACGCATATATATATATATATATCTTTATAATACGTTTACAGCAATGCTTGCAAACTATATTCATAGTGTTGAACAATATATAGTATAACACGTATACAGCGAAAAAACCCTCACACTAATTGGGCCCATCCACGCAAAACCGGCTGATGTTGTCAAGTCTAGCGGATTTCCATCACAAACTGGCATTTCCTCAGCCCGACCATCAATCCACGGCTTAAAGTCCAAGATGTCCAAATAGGCTGTGCTATAGCCGGCAGCCAGGAGAGCCCGGCTCAAGTTTCCCTTGCCTGCGAACACCTCGACTGCCTCATAGACCTCACCAGTGACAAGATTAGGGGCCGGACACCGCCACATGAAAGACACATCATACAACCCTTTGCGTCCGTCGTTTCATGGCACCAAAGACTCTAATCGGGCCCCCGACTTCCTTGAAGTCCAAACTGTGGTTGTAAGCCAGAAGCAAGATGACCTGAAGCAAAGCCTCAGGCAGGACGCTGAGCGACGGCACTTATATATTCACTGTAGAGCGACGCTTCTCGAGGTCTCCGATCTAAAGCGAGACGTGCGAATCGAATCGTAACCTATTTATTTTTAACAATGCAATGGGAAGATATGGGAGGTTCAAGGTGCCCCCGAGCATGAACCCCACCCAAACATTGGCTTGCGCCCACACACTCCACGCAATCAGTTGAAGTGAAATAGACAGTTCTTGTGCACAATATTGTCTCGGGGCAAGAAGCCTTTGGCGCCTGGATGCGCAGGAGCTGCCACAAAGTCCATTGCAGCTTAGGCATGGCAACCATGTTCCACTGGGATAGGGACACAAACACGTGCAGCCTGTGGACCAAAGGGCTTTGACGAACGCCCAAACCTTCTTGAAACGCACCATGAAGTGCAACGGCCATGCGTTCCAACATGTTCCAACTGAATATGCCGATATGCCATGGTTCTGGGTCTCTAGGTCATCACAACTTGTAACCTCCTAAAGTTTTCCAAAACCAGACTCGACATTGACACGGAGGGTGAGGAAGGCGTACCCGGTCGCCACCCATGGCGAAGCCTCCATGCCTTGCTCATGGCATAGTTGTCATGCACCTGGCGAGAGCAGGAATGTTTTCTTTAGTTTCTTGACCCTGCAAGGGAACATGTGCTCTGTAAAAAGCATCGATCCCATGGATCCCATTTACAGACCATAGACCATGCACGTGTTGATACATTTTGAAGGTGTCCGTTTTGGCGGCTTTTTTGGTGTGAAAAAGGCAGGTCAACGGACACCTAACATAAAGCTGGTTTGAAGCTTCTTGCCTCCCTTGGTCTTGTACTTGCAGTAAACTCGGCACGCTGATCGATCAGCATTTTTTGGCATCTTTGCGGAATGATGCGACCACCTCAAAACTATTTCGAGCATGCGGTGGCTTTGTGTTCTCTCAATTTACGAGAACATTGAGACCCCCAAAGCACATGTGGCCACGACCTTTGTTCTTTGATGGAAACAATGGAGGAATCCCAAATATATCACTTGTGCGTTCTGTTTTTTGACGTCGCTCCCCACATGTGTTAACCCAATGAGGCAAGGGTTTCCCTGCCACACCGACTTTCACTGACTTCCATGTCAGTCCACACTGGTTTGCAGGTTGGACAATGCAAGCTCGATCGCCAAAGCCTCCTGGATCAGAGGACACGCAGCGGGTGGAAGTTTCGCTTTATAAATTATACAGTAGAGCCAACACTTTTGCAGAAGAATAAAGACATGCAATGACATACATATCCATACATCACTGACGCAAAGACGGATGCAAACTTGCAAAAAAAGAACGAGTCCTGGAGGCCATCACAGCGATCAAACATGCGCATCACTTGCTTTTGCACGACGCTTTTGCTTTTGCCTTTGCTTTTGCTGATGCCTTTGCCCTGCCGGCTTTGCCCCGCGGCGGGTTGCTGCTGCCAGCCGAGTTCTGGTTACGACCTTGCTTGGGCTTCTTTGCGGAGCGTTGGTTCGAGCGCTTTTGGCTTGCAGCCGATGCAGACCTTTTTCCCTTTCGATCCTTGACCCATGTTTGCTGATCTTCATCCCAAGACCAACCAGCTCAATCCTTGCCCCACCCCCATCCCACACCTCATCCCACACGGCTGCTTCAGCAGCTTGCTGCTCCTCCCTCATTTTTGTAGCAGTCTTGCCTCTGAATGTGTCCTTGCGACAGTTTCTGCAGCCATTGAAAATGAAGCGGCAGTTCGTGCACCCCAACGTTTGCTGCTCCAGCACCTGCTACGCCCAAGTCTTCCCAGAGTACACCCGTGGTTGGAAAATGCCATCACCATCCCTTGCTTTGGATGTATTGCGGGATGATCCTAGACCATCATGTGAAGATGAATCTGGTAAATGCGCGTCGCCTGCAGGCTGTCCCTAACAGGTCTGCTTGTTTTTTCCTGGCTTTGCTTTGGTTTTAGGCGCGCATTTACCCTTTGGTGTCTTCACTTTGTCCACCTTGCTGTTCTTGACCTTCTTGACCTTTGCATTCTTCAAATGCCCCTTCAACACCGAGCGCCTGCCCCGCTTGCCCTTTGGCCTGCCCCTCTTGAGCGCTTTGGTTTGTGTGGTTCGCATGGTTGATTGCATCCGCGGCGAAACCTTTGGAGCATCCACCTCCAGCAGTGCAGAACGCAATGATTGGTGAAACAATTTGAACACAGCAACGCTTCAAACACGTGGTTTGACTATACTTTCGCAAAGTTCCGAACAGCGAGACGCACCTTCTCCAGACTCTCATCAGGAAATCTAGCCTCCTTGGGGGGGGGAGTTTCCAGGCTTTCACCATCCAGAGGCTGCGTTTCCACCTGCAGCTTGCAAACGCTTAGATATTTCCATGTGCGTGAACAACTTCCAACAACGATTCAAACTTACAAATTGTGTTCCTCTTCAAAGTGAAAGCCTGCTCAGGCCTGGTCAGGATTTACCACAGCACTCGGAACAGCCACAACAGAACCCTTCGAACTGCAGTTCTTGGAGGCTTCGCCTCACAGAAGCTTGACGACAAAGACAAAAAATTATCACGAAACCACATGAATGAGTTCAACCGAAGTGAATGCGCAAGGACTGTAGTGCGCACCTGCATTGTTGGCATCCGTGCTCGGTTTCCTAAGATCCAATACCGCTGACACATGCGCCCTTCCTATCCTCCACTCGTGGCAAACTACAGTGAAGGTATGACTCTATACTCTGCAAAACCCATCTTGGTTTGGCACTCGTCATGAAGCTTGAGGGAGTCAATTTGATTGAGAACTTCTTCAAGCTGGCGAGCTTGATCCTCTGTCAGGTTCAAGTCAGGCAATGCCGCTGGCGCCGGCGTCGAGTAGTCAAACGTGGAAGCATTCGAGAGGTGAGGTTTCCTCTTCGGCGCTGACCTGCTGAGCGACTGGCCAATCTCAGGCTTCACGGCCAGGGCCACAGCCAAAGGTGTCGTGCCACTGTGACCACCAGCACCATCTTCTTGGGAGAAGCAATCAGAATCCAACCGCGCACAGATCTGGACAGAATGCTTGCCACCAGCAATGAGATCTGGATCTTCATTCCACTGCTCATCAAGGTTCTTGTACACATCGCGGTAGTGCTTGATCAGGGTGAACAGCTCTCTTACATTGGAGTCCTCCAGGAAGAATGAACAACAAACAGATGCATCTTAATCTTGCAGAGATGTGCGTGCGTGCTATACATGGTATAATTGTATCGTAGCGTCGTAGAAGCAACATAATATACCTATACATGCTCGCATCCAAAAACTTAAGATACAAAAACAAAGTGCCACAGGAACTCAAAGAGCCGGTCCCGTGGTGTTTGTCCACGCTTTTGCGCATCATTCTGCCTTCGGTAGGCAAAAGTGTAGAGCATCCTCAGGTCCCAAGCCACTGTGTATGCTTCCTTTGGCTTGCTGGGCTTGTACTTGAACAGACTGAAGAGCTTGTTGACCTGGAAAAGAAACACAGGTGAAGGAACCTTTTCGGGCATATTAAGGGCTACAACACTATTTCAACACTCTAGATATAGATTGTTTCTTTGGTGTGAATGTTGAACTCATGAAGGGGTCCAGGCCTCTCGTTCCAATTGCTGGACATCACAAAACTTCCCATCATAATGTTTCAGCATACATATCAGTGCTTCGGCGTTGAGTTCCAGAGACTTTGTGCAAATGGGGTGGTGCTCTTTCACAGGTTCCTCTCCATCATCCCATTCTGAGGGATGTTGCGGAATTGGCCACTGAACGAAGGGTATCTCACCACGAAAGCGCCGGCGAATAGTCTTGACCTCTTCGAGCGCATGGGCCAAAGATGAACCTTCATCCGCCATGGGGACCCCTGAAAGAAAAGCTAGGGCAAAATCCTAAAGCTATACCTGGAAGCCAGCTGATGGTCAAGCATCCCACACATGCATCGAAGAAGACCGTTGGTGCAGGACAATCAAGCCAGCATCACCTCGTGAGCGAGCTTGAGGGGCCCGGCTTGGATTCAGTCCTCCGACAGAACCCACATTTTTTGATGCTATACGAGTGCAACATGTTCAGTGAACCTCAGAACTGTTCAACATGTATTTCTATTGTAGCCATTGGGAACGAGTCGGTTTAGATTATCACGAAAGCTAGCGAAGCTAGCTGGAGTTACTCTTGCGATAGCAAGGTTTCTTTCGACCGGGTGCAAATCCTAACCCCTGATTTTTCAGGTCGAAGACACCCCCCCCCCTCCTCCCCTCTCCCCTCTCCCCACCCCACTTCCCCTCTCCTCCTCCTTGTCTTCCTCCCACCTTCCCTCCCTCCCTCCTTCCTCCCTCTTCGCAAGTTCGACTCCGTCCTGTCGTCGCTCTTTGGCATGCGGTTAGTGTTGCGTATCTTGCGGCCGCACTCGCTCACTCTCACTGTCTCACTGTCTCACTGTCTCACTGTCTCTCTCTCTCTCTCATCTCTCTCATCTCTCTCATCTCTCTCATCTCTTTCTCATCTCTCTCTCCTCTCTCTCTCTCTCTCTCTCTCTCCTCTCTGTCTCTCGTCTTTCCGTCTCTCTTCTCTCTCTTCTCTCGCAGGAGGATCCGGGCAAAGAGCCACATATCACGAAAGCTAGCGAAGCTAGCTGGAGTTACTCTTGCGATAGCAAGGTTTCTTTCGACCGGGTGCAAATCCTAACCCCTGATTTTTCAGGTCTCCCCACCTCCCCTCTCCCCACCTCCCCTCTCCTCCTCCTTGTCTTCCTCCCATCTTCCCTCCCTCCCTCCCTCCTCCCTCTTCGCAAGTTCGACTCCGTCCTGTCGTCGCTCTTTGGCATGCGGTTAGCGTTGCGTATCTTGCGGCCGCACTCGCTCACTCTCACTCTCACTCTCTCACTGTCTCACTGTCTCTCTCATCTCTCTCATCTCTCTCATCTCTCTCTCCTCTCTCTCTCTCTCTCCTCTCTGTCTCTCGTCTTTCCGTCTCTCTTCTGTCTCTTCTCTCGCAGGAGGATCCGGGCAAAGAGCCACATATAAAGGACTCTTCACCCCTGCCTCCAAAAAGAGCGCCGTGTTTTTTCCTACCTCGCTGCCCTCCACTTTCCCATTCTGGAGCGCTAGCTTTCGCCCCCCCCCTTGGCCTCAAGTATAGATAGCAATTCAAGACTTGCAACCGGAAGACTGGGCGGTCGATCTCCTGACATGGTCGGCAATGCGCGCGTTGTCCATCAGCCGCGCGCCACAGAACCCAACAGTTGTCAACAGCAAATCAAATGCGCATTTCAACACAATACATGGCTGACTATGGTTGTGAATGTTTGCAAGCGATCAGGATCCTTGCTTTGGCTCTCGTGCCTGATTCATCTAAAACGGTGCAGCGGCAGCGGATCCACTGAAAAAGGAAGGCCTCCGGGAGACCTACATGACTCCATGATTGCTGTCATACATGGTCTGAACTCAGGGTGTACTACTTTTGTTGAAAGTATACGGTTTTATTTGAGGAGTAGTCAACAGTGAATGCTTTCTTGAAAGTGGACCATATAAAAGGTCAACTTCGGCGGTCCAGGTAATTTGTTACTACTAGTAAGGCACCTGTTACTACTAGCGTGGCACTTGTTACTATACTAGCGTGGCACTTGTTACTACTAGTAAGGAGTTATATAACGGAAATTACAGTAATGGATATCCCATACATTCATCCGGTTTAACAGAAGCTTCTTTTTAGTGGGCAACCTGGAAATCTGGCTTATAGTGACATATAGTGACATGAAGGACCAGCATCATGCTGAAGATCGTCATTTAGAGCTGTTTTTCTTTTCGATTTGTCCTTCTCCCATGTCAATTCAGAGAACCCATGATGACCCAAATGCAGAAAAGGTTGACTAAAAGGTCTCGCCTCGTCCTCGGCTCGTCTATGCGCTGCTTTTCCGATGGGTCGACTGTGTAGGGCCTCCATGGGCAAGAACTACGTCTTGGCCGGCATGGTGGGCGTTAGTGATTACGAGGTGCAAAGAAGCAGACAGTATTGATCCGTTGTTTTCACTGTCCCCGTGCAGGGCAGGAGAATCAAACAGCGAATGAGCAAATCCAACAGCGCAAGGGGCCTGTCAGAAGGTCATAGCTAGATTTTGGATGATTCAGTTGGTTGATTTCGGAACCCATGAGTAACTCATTTCTCTTAGTCTGGTCACTTGGGTAGCCGGAGACACACCAGGCGATCCCCAACTCAACACTCTTCAACCAGCCATGTTTCATGCTTTGGTATCGCGGTAGTACCACTGGGTCCATGCTCTTGGTTGTGTCCCCCGTGTTTTGAAGAGGCAAACGTGTTGAGTAACGCAAGCCACACGCCTTCTCCTGCCTCCACGGGGGTCTTTCTCCGGTCGAAACGAACGACAGACCGTGGCCTTTACGTTGAAGAGCGCTCAGCATCGGACCGACTACTTGGGAGCCCAGGCGTGGATGGTGCGAGAGACGATGGGTCTCGGTTGATGGTCGGTTCGGCGGAGGTTGAACAACCCTGTGACATGGGAGCGTATCCGGTGCATGGGTCGATGAGGTCACTAATATTCACTAATCGCACAAGCATGATTTACAGTATATTATTGATTGGATTTGTGTTGTTTTAGTGGGCATCATGCTGATAGTGATGCTGAGAGGGAGATGATTGGCAATGTGAGTATGTTTTTGAGCGAATTGGTGGATTCAATGACTTTGCAGATGCTGTGGGGGTTATGTAAGCATTATCCTGCACCCAATGTGGAGAGAGTTGGTTGTGGCTTGAGCACCACAAGACATCCGTCTTTTGTTCGTTCCTTTTGCTCAAGTATTCTAGCTAATCTCCCCTCACACCAAGTCCCAGCTGATCATATGAGTGGATATGCGACAATCGTGGATATGGCTACAGCATTCAATAGCAAGGGTTGAAAATGGTTGAAACCTCTCACGAGAGAACAGGACCCAGCAATCACCATTTCATAACAGATTCTTGCACCTTCTCAAGGGAGATATCAGGGAGTCTAGGTTTAGCGACAACCCAGTGATGACTGTTTGGCAATGAGAACCAAGCGCCAACATTGTGTTTCTAGTGCTTGAAAGAAATGGTTTTGTTATAGACATTCACAAAGTGGCATCGAAGTTGACCATTGGTTTAAGACTTGTTTCCTACCTCAAATCAGTTTCTGTACAGGGTTTTGGCCTAGATAACGCATTCTTGCTTGGTTCTTAATCTCATTCAGCAATGCAGCCCACTTCTTTTGGTCCGCTTGCGCCGCCACGCCAGCCCTTGACAAATCTGCCCAAAGTGGATCGTGAAATTTTCCTGTTGTCAATGGCCAACACTGCCTCTTGGCAGCAGAGTCGGTGGGGAAGTGTTTTGAAGTATGAAGAGTTAAGCAATTAAGCAAGGCAGTGCGCAAGGCCAGTTCCATCCAAGGTGACAGCAAACAGCGCCTGGCTCCATCAATGGACACCACTGTGACAGTGATGGCTTTCTGTTTCAACTTTCATGTCAACGTGGTTCCCGGTGTTGAATGCTGGTGAACATGATGAAAAGGCAGAATTCATGAGACTCAAGCAGTGCATGTCATCAGAAGCAATCAGACCTTTACACAACGTTTGGTACACAGTAATCCATCGTAGTTTTGGAGATACTATGACATCCATAGAGCCGAGGAGATACAAAATGCGCCGAGATTCCGAACCCTTCGGGAAGCGTTTTCTTTTCTTAGATTCAAGTGATTGGATGGCCACGAACGATGTGGATCCAACAAACAAGCTCAAACCTTTTGCATGAAGTCTTCCACGTTGTTCCACGGCTCCTTTCGAAGTCTGGGCTGCGCCACGGCCTGCGTCGTTTTGACACGACGCTGAGGCGAAGGAATTGAATCATGACAAGCTCCTTGGCTGCGAGACAGTCACTGGCGACAGACAGTCGTCACTACTGGCAAAGCTGGAGATGGTGTTTCGGCTTCCAAGCCCAGGCGTTGATAACATGGAACAGTTCTGCTGACATGGAACACATTTTCAAGTAGTGCCAGCGCATCCAGCATGCAGCATCCAGCGTCCACTGCAAGTGCACCTGAATCATAGTGTGACCAAAAGGTGCATTGAACATTGGCCCCTCACCCGCCAGCTTTTGGGACTGTTGGAGATTTTGTTGCCCATTTGGTTGCCCACTGATGTTCCATATTGATACACTTCGTCGAAGCACTTCTGGGCCTTTGAACGGGAGATGAGGGTCCGCCCGGAGTGATGTTCGAAACACTTCGCTCTTCACATCCATGCTGGTAATCCCCATGGAATGGCACCGAAAGCGCTGGAGGAAGTGGAGCCGGATTGCTTCTGGAGATGTCTTGTCTCTTCAACACACGTGGTAGTGGAAAAACTCCTGTAAGGAGGGAAGGTAGTCTTCCAACCCCTCCATATTGTTGATTATTTCCTAGCTGTGCAAGATCATCACAATAGGCCCACCACGCATCTATACGCTGTTTCTGCAAAGCTTTTACTTTTACATTGGCTTTGCATGTCTTGCTGTTCATTGAAACACGCCCTGCTCTCTTTGAACATATGCTGCTGTGGTCGCTGAGGTTTGTCGCTTGCTTCTACCATTACATGTTCAGCCGCCCTCTCAGATTGACTCTCTCTATGGAAGCCAGCCAGAACCGTCGATCGATGAACCTTTAAGGATCTTTAAGGCTTTAAGGGTTCAAAGGCAAACTTTGGGGTGTGCCTCGTGTGCCTGTATCTATAATAAAGCTGTTCTGTTTGTCCATCAACAGTAGGAGGGATGATCAAAAACTAAGACTGGCATCGAGCAGCAACACTGAACACATTCGCTCGCTGCAGTTATGAAGTTGCCACGAGATTTAATCAGAAGGGGTGGCACTGTACTTGTTGAAGGAAAGGCAAAACCAGTATAAAAATCAAAAATGTACTAATTGGTTTATAGCTGCGTATGTTCGATGATTAAGATGGCGCGCTAGCACATGTCCTATTTGTTTGTCAGTTAAAAAGTTGAAACAATCATTTTACAGTTGACTAATAATAAGGATGTAGACGTGAAGCAGACGTCACTTCTATGGTGGGGAGAGAAGTTTGAGCGTCAGTGAATGTGCCAAACTCCAGAGCATCCCTCAGTACATTGGTCTGGGCATTCTGTTGCAAGCTGTATCGCTTGCAGGAAACCCGAAACCAACATACTTTGACAAATCCTTTGCAATGCACTTCGCTGGTGGCGTTCCAGACCCCCAAAGGTTCTTTTGGATCACCTTCCCAGTTTGAGGGGCGATGAAGCTTGCGAAGCTGGGCGAGCTAACACCGGTTCCGGTGTTTTCGTTGCTCCCGACATCGGTTCCAGGGGAAGGCTTCGAGGAACGTCTGAAGTCGGAGAAGGCCAAGAAGTGTTGGGCCCAGCTTGCCGAGGAGCGAACCGGGCGAGGTGAGGAAATGTTGTGATTCGTGATGTGTCATGGATTCTGGAGAAATGTGTATATACTGTGTGTATATATATATATACTGTATATATAGGAATCTGTGAGGGAAGATGGCAAGTTGCCAAAGATTGGCTGGAAGTTGGCAATACCATGCAGTAAACGATGAGGTCAACAATATGAGGTCAGGACAAACAGCGGACGTTGTCTTTTTTGGTAGGACTTATGCGCCTTGAACACTCAAGTTTGTTTTTCAAGTATAGAGTGGATTGTTGTCGTGACAATTGTGCTGTATATGAGTATGACACATATTGGGTATGCCGCATGCCTCATTCATCGGAGACCTTATTTGTAAACTGAGCCCATCAAGGCGGGTTGAGAAAGGTTTTCTCGATGGCATCCTGGTGCCATATATGAAACCAGAATCAGACTCTGGAAGCAGACAAGCTCATGTGTCTATTGCAATTCTATTGCTAACTTTCTTGTCCTACAAGAAACAAGTTTTGGTGGATCTTGCCCCGCAGTGCCGCGCGGGGGGGCCCTGCGCGTGCCGTGTGAGGACTACAAAACAATGCCACATGGGGAAGGCGAGCAGTTCTACACCGAAGATGCCACAGGTGCGGTAAAATCGTTTCTGTTGTTCGAAGACGAGCATCGATGGTTTGCGGCCGCTCGCGAAAGCGGACATTTGCTACGTCGGACATAGACTCGACAACGGGTTTGCCCACTTAGCAATCGAAGTCCCCGGAGCAAAAACTCAGCAAGGGTAGAAAATGTGGCTTGTTCCGTATCAAACCTAGCATGTGACACCTGTTTTCAGGCATTTAGTAGTGTGGCATCTAGCAACCTGATATATTACATAGTGGAAGATAGACCGTGGGAAGACTTGTTTCCTTTGATGAAACAGGTTTTGTTAACCGCAGGAAGTGCTTTTGCCTAATGAATCTCAACCAAACGTGGATGTGAAAACCTTGAAGCTCCAGCAAGCGGTTTTGAGCAGGCTACGGTGCTTTAAACGACCTTGGCACTGGCAAATATCCTTCGTTCACTATTCTGGGTATGAGCAGCTGAATATAACCAGCATTTCTCACGCAATGGGAACAGGCTTGACAGCCCCCAGACGAGACGCATGTTGACATTGATGTGGCTCAAGTTCTTTGCATCTCACCCCTTAGAACCCCTAAAACAAACCAACGCAGGCGGTACTACACCCAAATATAAACAAATAGAGCAGTGCTCAAACCCTTCAGAGCTGCCTTTGCTACTTAACCTTGGAACTTCCAAGCCTTCCACTGCACTGAGACTGTGAGAGATGTTCCACTGATTTTCTCGATCAATTGGCACTCCTGTACAAAACTCACTTGCTTGGTCTCACTGTCTCACATGTAGTGGGCCATCAAATGTTCTCTTTCAAGTCAGCAGACTAAAGTGACGAAATCTTATTTGCAGGGAGTGATCTTTAAACTGACGACATGCCCATGCTTCTGTGTCGATTCGGGCAAGTTTGGATGGGCCGTGTCTGAGACTGTTGCGATTTACATGGCCACCGTGGCATTGTTCTCTTCCAACTTGGCAGGTCTTCGAGGCTTCTTCATTCGGTATTTCTTCTATGCTGGGTACTCATGGTTCCGCTGCGACACGGGAACTGGGGATGGCAGTGGTGATTGAGGGAGTGGAGCGGCAATCAGGAGGTTTTTGTGCAGGTGAGGGTTGTCTGTATACGTGTATACCATTAATTATACAACCAAGGTGAATCAAAGTAGTGGATGTTTGCATGTTGGATGAGTTTTATTTGCATCAAACACAATGTCAGCCTTCCGCTGTGCAGGAGGCTCAGGCATTTTTTGAGGTGATGAGGTTCATCGTAAGCGTGCGATGGGAAACTGTGACGTCAGCGTACGACTAGTCGTGTGGGCACAAAGATTCCGCGGATTTCCAAAGGTATGTTTTTAAATGTGCTTCAATGTTTCTGGTTGGAAAAAGTACGTTTGGTATGAATCAGTCATCCATTCTTCCACGTTTAGTAAGTTGGTATGTTCAATGTATTTTCCCGTCAGAAAACCCTTCACTCCTGTTGTCTAGTCCGCACCCGAGGTGCGTGGGGGAATCCGCTGCTCAGGTCATGCTGGGGACGGACACAGAAGATCCAGAGATCATGAAAGACTTGGTGGCCATGATGCGGGGCGATACTCCGTGCCTTTGGCTGAAGATACTCCGTGCCATGCGTGGGATGGGATGCAGCGATTTGAAGTATATGTATCAACTGTATTCCAGACACTCCTTGTATGGACTATTTCCCTACTAGATTGACCCCCGAAACCACCCCAAATGTCAGCAAATATGCAATACATGGAGTGTTTGGGTCGATGTATTTATTTTCTATGGCCCATTGGTGGGCGGCATGGCCAGCTCCCGGACAGCCACTCAAAAGCATTTGTACCCTGGAGGTGAACCAGAACTTCGATGACTAGACAAAGTACACGAGACACCAGCTGTTTTGGGGGGCATTTCTCGGGTCAGTCCACTTGTTTTTAGCATGTTAGAGGGCAATTAAGTAAGCACATGTAAGCACCATCCAAGTGTCGATGTGGCAAAGCTGCTGGACTTCATTGGTCAATCTAGGTGGAAAGATGTGGAAAGGCTTTGCAGAAGTTTCTATGCTCAAACTCCTTGCAGGGCCAATTGTGTAAGAGCTCAACAAGTAGACATATTGATAATTGATAATGAATACCTGGTACTTGTATGATAGCAGCAGAACATACATTGATCTCACAATTATCACAATAAGCCTGTTTTAACACATTTTGACGCATCCCAAATCTTGGAACGTTTCGGTTTGGTTTCGTTTGTGTGCGAACCTGAGGATATACTGTAATTGTTCTTTCCGCGGCCGCATTGGTGCCAAGGATTGCCATGTGCTACCTGTGGCCTTTCGCAGTGGCCAGGGTTGCCCAGAGTCGCCGAAGTCAAGACACCTTCAGAACGGTCTACTGTAACAAAGATCCCTTCCTGCACAAAGCAAACGGTGTGGAAGATAGAAATACCATGACCTGTAACAGTCAATAAAAGATTATCACATAGTATCAATGTTTTTTCAGAAAGACTTTTCCAACCACCACCATCAGCCCCTACTTGGTTTGAACTTGGACCGTCTAAGCGACAGAAATGTGCATCATTAAACACATCCCTTATATATAATATATAATATATGTGTATATTTCAATGTTGAAAGAGTTTGTGCAGTGTGTGCAGGCAGGTTAATCTTGTTCGAGTTTCTTGTTCCTAGTAGCTGCTTGCTCCTATAGTAGCGATGCCAGGAGCCCCTGGTAGCTACTTACAGGTTAAAGTTTTATGTATGTTTATAGTTACACATGTGATATGTGTTTCTGATTCTGGTTCCCAAAAAACAGGCTGGTCCCCAAGCGAGGGCCCCTCAACCACCCTATCGCTTTTTTGTTCTTCGGAGCGCTCCTGGACCGCTCGGACGCATCGCTCCGCCACGCCGAGCCCAACCTCATGGGCAGCACCATCAAGAAGGTGGACGACAGGCGACGCGGATCCCGCACAGCCAACGGATCGCGCCGCCAACGGTGGTTGGTCCAGTCAGGTCACGATCGCGCGGGTGTGTTCCTGTTTTTTGGAGTCTGGACGACACTTTTAGGGGGTTATGAGTTGTGAAGCCCACATCTACTAGGGCCATATGTCGATTGCCACAGTTGGCCAATCCCAACAACCGCACTTGGCCCCCAGATCCGCAAATATTCAGAACTCAAGGCCAAGACCAACTGGTCTAGTAGCTTAGCAGACCGAGTTGTTCCAGACCGGGTCATCACCTACACAGGTATTGCCGCCTACACAGGTCGTTCTTCCTCGTACCGGGTCATCCGCGAAGGGAAAAACAAGACTATAAGCGAAGGACCTAAACCGTTTGGGTCGATGGACCTTCGAAAACATCGCAATCGAATCCTTCCGACCGAAGCAGGACCGAACGGACCGACCGAAGCAGGACCGATTTTCGGAACTCGGAACTCGTTTGAGGGATGAGAAGCATATCTACGCAGCATCGAACACACATCTACGGCATATACCTGGTCCTTATAGTCCTTGAGGTGGAAATGGGCTGAATGGCCATACATCTCGTGTCGGGGTGACTGCTTCTTCCAAATTTGGTTTGTTTCAGGAAAGAGAGTTGGCCGGTCCTGATATTCAAGTAAAAACCAGAACGCGCAAGCCCACAAACACATAATATCTATATATATAACTACAACTCGACTGGGAGGTAAATTTGAAGTAATGCATTCTATCACAGAACCGAAGATTCTGGTGTCGTGACAGGATCTTCAACAGTTCGTCCTTGGCAAAGTTTGTGGAAGGCACTGGTGGGAGAGTTGGGAGAGTGGCTCCAAACCACCCACAACTTACAGTTTCTGTGTCAAGATCCGTTTGATTCCCCCCAGCACCAAGCGCTGGGTGGTGCTCCAAGACCTTCCACCCGTGAATGGTCTTGGCCACGTCGTTTCGCTCAGTTCACCACCGCGGCATGTGAACCTCAGTCAAGATGACCGGTGAGGGGAAGTTCAGAACATGTCCCTAGTAGCTTCTAGCTACTAGTAGCGATGCGGCATCTTCCTAATCGCGATGCACTTGTTACGTTCGTAGCTTCTAGCTACTGGACATGGAGAATCACACAGGAACGGGTTGCTGCGGGCAGATTGGTCCTGATTGACGGACTCGTGCTTTTGTTCCGTGTTCCGTAGTCGGAAAGGCGGCCTGCTGGACTTGATGTGCTTGTTGGACGGAAAGGAAGGAAGAAAGGAAGGAACTGAAGATCCATGTTACCCATTCTCATTTAATCTGTTCTACAGCTTGAAATAATGCACCAGCTTGGACTTGGCTCGAGAGTGGAACAGACTGAAAGTTTGAGATCCCTAGAGGTCCAAGTCCTAGAGTTTGAATATTCCCCCATACAATACTCCCAACTACTCCCAACTAAACAGTTTGCTACATCACCTCTTCTGCTGGTGTGATGTTCCTCCACCACATGCCCCTACCGTGCTACACGTGGACCTTCCGACGCATGGCACCAGGTGAAGAGAAGTTCGCAAACATGACGAAACTGGAGCTCACCAGGCGTTGGTTGCACCAAGCTGGATTGTGGTGGGTAGATGACTCATGATCACTCCAGAGTTGACTAGGGATCAGAACTGAAATGCCTTCATGTGATTGGCCCTCGCCCAATCGTCTTCCAGTGGTTGACCTCTTTTGTCGTCAGCCTTTCTGCAGTCATCAACTTGGGAAAGATTGCTGCATTTGAAGAACAGGACATGATACGTATGAGATGATATGAGCCCCTCTTTGGCATCTGGCGCGAAAAGAGCGTGGGTCGCTGGCGGACCCAGCGCGAGCGAGAGGGAACAAGAGATGTGAGGCTCACCACTTGCATCATGAGACTGGCGGCGATCACGGGTACTTTGCAACTCGTTCGGAGCCCAGTTTCATCAGATCCACCCTGTCAGCTGCAGTCTGTGCGAGTCGCAGTGGTAGTCGAAGGACCGCTGCGCCCATCCTTAAAGCATCCAAAGCACCCAGAACATCCCTGATTCTGTTCAGACAAAGAAGTCTAGTTGGGGGGGAGGCAAACCTTTGCACGTCTCTCGGAAGTGGTGGATCAGTCTCTCCTTCCAGAGACTCACCTGCGAGAAGCTGCAGGAAGAAACATGAGAGATTGTGAAAGGAACTGTGGGAATGGGCAGGGCGGCAGGGGGAGTTTCCTTGAAGAAGCGCGAGCTATCCTGCGTCCAAGGTAGTAGCTACTTGTTAGCTACTAGCGACTCCCTAGCTACTACTATCGCGGCCTACCCCCCAAAAAAAAGCAACATCGACATAAAAATGACAACAATAGTATACAATAGTAATAATCGTTCACTTCAAATTCAGTTTCGCTTCTCGACTCCCGGTCCCCGGCCCATCGCCGAGGCCAAGAGTGTGACCGGAGGGCTGACCATGCCACCCTTCGAGGCGGCCCCGTGGCCGGGAGGAGGTGATCCCAGAGAGAGAGAACAAGAGAAAACTGATAAAACCGGTCGCTCGGTCGCTTTAGAACAGGTCGCAAAACGTCGCCCAACGCAGCTTTTCCTGAGACTGCAGCAAGGTGTTTTCTACGACTGTAGCTTTCGGACTTTTCTCTGGGGCTCTTCAGGACTTTGCAGCCGCAAATGCTTGGGCCAAAAAAGAGATTTAGATATTTAGAAAAAACATGCCCCAGTCACATCAGTGGAAGCCTCACCTGGGTGTGATTGGTTGTATGACATATATCATGATGTTGCAACTCTTTGTGAGGGTGGTGGGCTCGCCACTCATTGGTTGAAGCACAGAACAGGTCCGGTAGAAGGATTTTGCAAAGTCTGGTTGGTTCTTCTGGTGCATGGCTTGTTCTTCGGTCCTTTCTCGATCCTTTCTCGTTTAGGATATGGATAAGACCAACGTGGCAGCCGAATGGGATAAGCTGGACCTTGCCGTGCGGGTCTCAGCAATGCCTTGGGTGAACCGGAGCGCGCAAAACCGGAACTACCGCGAAAGCAGATATTTCTTGGGCCAATCCAGCGACGAAGAGTCATTCCGTGTATCTGGGACCATTCTGAGAGGAGTTCTAAAAAAAAAGGCAGAAAAGTGTCACTGTCACAACGAAAGCAAGGCCGCCCCTGGCCATTGTTTGGTGGAGGGAGTGATCCAGGCTTCTCCAGCTGGACCAATTCTGTCACTTCGACAGAAGGAGGAGGAAGTAAATTTGAGCGAAAACTGTCCCAAACTCCATGCAAAAGGGTTTCCGCTGTCTCAGGGTACATTTGAGAGGGGTGCCAAACATGTGTGGCTTCATTTGAACTTTGCCCATTTTAAACAATGCATATGCATGCATATTCAGAACATGTTAGACAAATTTCATAGCTTGTGTCCAGCAGGGGTAATAGTATTGCACAGTTTCACATTTGTATCCGACTCAATTGGTCCCTGTAGCTTTCACGCGTCACATGACCGCAGCCATGAGACACCCGGCCAAGACCCAAGCGAGTCGTGGAGAAAGTGACGTAGAGAATTGGCAGTCAAGTCGTGGAGATGTTTGGGACAAACAACATCCAAAGACTACAAGTTCACAGTTCACATCTCTGGCAGCCCATGTTCGTCATGGTGATGAAGTCTGGTTTGTGGGTGGAACTCGGGGGTGCTTGTTTTAGCCATCGAAGCGCTCCAAGGATGAGCAGGCCTTGCAAAACTTCTGCTTGGAGGCTGGAACATGTCTGGCATCCGCGGACAACTTGCACAAGCGAGTTCGCGGAGAGTTGATGACCCACAAACTGACGGCCCCAGAAGTTTCAAGACCGTTTCTCGCCTGGGGAACGGGATAGATTAGTAGATGGATGGAGTTGGTAGCTGGTTTAGAGGCTGATGGATGTCCAATCTCTAGATGTCTGAATCAGTACTGAGATCTTTCTGAAAAATCACTCAGACTACAGCATTTCTGTTCGCGCTGCCATTGCACACATGACTCTTTATAAACATGTATGCTGACACATTTGGATGACTCCCCCAGGACCGCTCCTTGGTGATTGAGCTAAGTTCCGGATGAAGGAAGTCCCAGTTGCGACTCGTAGAAGCTCGTTCTATGACTTTGCACGGTCACTCACGAAGAGAAGCCGGGAGGGGCCTGGCAGGGTTTCGCCAGGTCCTTGTCCACCTGCCCGTCGTCTCGTGCTCTTCCGCGGCCAGACCGCAGGTGGCCCGTCTCCATCCTCCCGTGAGCTCGGTACATCACATCGCCACCGACGCCCGGACGCGTTTTTGACGTCCGGCGGGTGGAAGCAGGGCCACGTGGAGCGCAGGCATCCTGAGAATAGTTGAGAGTATCGAAAGGAGAGGTTGACGCAATTAGTGCTGTCACTATGGTACTTCCTGGATAGTACTAACATTTGTGCACATGCATATAAGTACTATACTTATTATATTATAGATTATACTGTTTGAATGATTTTGATGTAGCAGCTATATTATCTATCTATTTATTTATATATTGTTTGAATGATTTTGATGTAATATATAGTATAGTATAGTATAGAATATAGTACAATATAATATATATAGATCTACAAAGAGAATATGACTCCGACACTCAAAGCAATTGACAAGGAAACTTGGAATAGGGCAACGATTACATGACTCCATTGCTGTCGACCAGTCAACAAATGCTCCTTGACCTGTCGGGTGGCTTCTTGACCGTCTTCACCCCAATTCATGGTAAACGAGGGTGCGATAAGGACCAAAGGTGTCAACAATAAGCATTCTATTGGTGTTCTATGAAGGCGAACAAAACAACAAGAGAATGCCATCTCCGGAGACTCCAAGGAGGCCTTTTCTGCCACGATTCAAGGCGCGTTGCGGTCTTGGGATCTCAGAGAGGCAAGGCCATTTGCCTTATCCAAAAACAAAGTCAGTATATATGGCTTTTTTTAGGCGATCGGCAAATTCTTGAAGGTTTTTGAGTGTTTTTGTTGATTCTTTCACCTTACACTATCGATGTTGCCCTCGGGGGCTTCAGGCAGAGCTGCACTGAGCAACTCCTGCTGTACACTGCTACCACCCACCCAGACTGTTCATGTATTTTCCCCCACTTGAAAGATTATATATCTTCTAGACGTGGATGCTGTATTAGATATGGTTTGGGTCTCAGATTGTATCAAATTGTATCTGTTCCCTGATGGCTTTGCCAAGTCCCTTGTATCCCTTGGCCCCTCGTATCCCTTGGTCCCTGGTCCAGACAGCTGTGTGAACTGTTACGGTCGCTTCACCAGAAGTGTCGCTATATACATTCTATCGGCAGACCCAGTTTCACAAGATGCTTAGACACACACCCAGACCTTGCTACTGAAGATGTTCTCATTTGTCGATCATATTCTTCTCAGTTCCAAGGGTTCTTTTTCACTTCGTGATTTGTGCATGTCATCCTCGCGTACAGGCCATGCTAGTCTTCTTTATATCGTTCCAGATTCCAGTTTGATCATTTGACATGACGACCATATTTTTCATGATGTGTCCTTGGGCTGCAGTGCTCTACTAGCCTTCATACGCCTCAGAATGACTCATGACTGGGGAATTACCAGCACTCCTTTTGTTCGCCTCAAGTTTCCCCTCTCAAACAAGATCTATGTACATTCTCCCTCACCAATATGCAAATGGTCCCTTGGAAGATCTTGGAAGACTATATTTTCCTCTGGAAACAGCAGTGGTTCCACTTCCATGTTACTTGTGTTCGTATGTGTTCGTCGGAGTGTTCACACATGTGTTCGCACTTCTTCACACTTCTTCTCCCTCAGGCAGAGTTGTGGACTTCCCGGCTGGAACAAAGATTCTGGTACCCACGCGCCTCGGATTGGGGAACGTGGGAGCGGCTCGGAAAGGACTTGGAGTGGATGAAGAGGAGATCGGGGGAGATGTTTCAAGGACATTTCACACCAGTATATAATATATATATCAGACTTGTGGATTTATATATGTCTTTATGTAATTTTTTCTACTTTGTATATGATGCTTCATGCTTCAAGCTGAAAGAATCACTTTTGATCTGTCTTGGCGAGTACCTGGAGCAGTACCTGCTTTGGATGACTGTCGAAATCGTTGGAAAAGACTGGGGCTTTGTAAACGGGTGGTGTTCTTCAACGCTTCATTCAAGCCGACCGGATGGTCTGTCTCCTCATTGCTCACCAACTGTGCTGCAAGATCTTGGTGGGAATGAACTTCTGTGACTATATCTAGGTGGGACTAGGTGGGACTAAGTTTGTCGACTATGTCAAGGTCTGTCGACTTCGTATTTTGGTGGGACTAGGTCTGTCAAGTTTGATGATTTGGCATCGGAATCTTTTTGCGGGACGACTCATGGCTTCGCAGGATGTTGAAACGTCCAACAAAGCCAGTTGGATTGACGAAAGCAAGTTTGGCTTTCATTTGACAGAGTGTCCTGGCACCTGGGAAGGATGGCGCATTTGTTGTCAATCCGTGTTGAGAATGCTGGCACTTCACTGCTCTTCGTTTAGCAGGTCCCAGATATAAAACTGCAGCCTCCTGGGACTTCGCGGCCTGCCCACCATGGTGGGAATCCCACCAGGGTTCGAGAATAGAGTTTTCAATAGCTTGGTCGTCAGAGTCCTTTCAGCCTTCCTGCTATGTCAGGCTGGCCCCACCAGGACTTGGTCCACGTCAGACATGAAAATACACGGTGCACACACGGTGCTTGGTGAGGATGCCAGGTCAACGGTCTTCATGAGTCATACTGTAAGTGGGTTGTGACCTTGATAATCACTTCTTGTGCAAGACCCCCCCACTCATAAGATCTCATAAGAACAAAATATCACCTTTTGCAGCACGTCATTATGACATGTTACTACTGTGTTTGCATTCTTATAGTACCCGTTATAAGGCCACAGTAATCAAGGAGCTTTAGCTTTGTCGAAGCTTTGGCTTTGTATATAGCGGCCCTTTTTTGCACTTCAGCCGTTGGTCTAGCCAGTAGCAAAAAAACGGCCTAAAAAGTAAACAACACAGTCCGGTGCCGTTGATTCACCGCGATTCACCAACGTGTTTCTAGGAACCTCGCCATGACCGACGTGGTGCGGGGCCTCGGGAACCTCCTTTCGCCTCAACGACCGGACCAAGTGGGTCACCTCACGAGACCGGCAAAGGAGGTGAGCTGAAATAGGCTAGATGTGGTAGAGTGTTTTCTGTTTTTCTTCTCATGTTTAATGATGTTTGTAGGATTGGAGCAACAGATCACTGACAATTAAACATTGTTGAACGTTCGTTTCTAAATGAATGTTGACCCAGGTGGTGGTGGTTTCAATCATGAAAAGAAGGTTCGGGAGCATACACACACAATTACTTGCACTCACTGTCAGGCCTTTAGCTAAGGTCCCAAGTGGTTGAGCAAAGCGGCAAACTCTCGTGGGGGGTTGAAGCAAGAATTCAATGGGAGGATATAATGATCTGGTGTGAGTTGCATCAAACAACTTGACAACCTTTTCCTTTTCAAATCAGCTGAGATGGATTTGGTGAGATACTGGATTTGAAGGAAAGCTTTTGCATGCTTTTTCACCCAGCGGACTGCTTAACGGGTCGCCATTCAGTCCGAAGGGTTGCTTGGATGAGGAGGGAAGCTTGGAAGAGCAAACTTGAGATGGGATGTCTACGTAATTTTCGTAGTCGATAACGCAGGTCCTTTTGAGTGTCGGGAGGAGTCTTGCTTAATTAAGGAGGCGGAGGAGGGTGTCTTCTCGAAAAGCTGGAGGGTGCACCTGGACTGAGAGCTTCCCAGAAACCAAACAAATTTTGACAGGCAGGGAATCTGACAAGAACCTGAAAGCACGAGGAGGGATTAGAAAAACTCTGTTTAGTTGAAGCGTTGAGTTTAAACAACAACATGTCCATTAAACAACATGTCAATGAGCTAGGGTGGACACTACCCTAGAAAGGCTCCTATAGGATCTCTTCTTCTGTGTCGTTTTGAGGCCTCCAAGTTGTGGGCCCTCTCGAGGAAGTGGAATGTTACAACAAGAATAGGTCCGTTTTCACATCTCCAAGGTTTACGATGTCCAGATGCTTTTTGCCATGCCGTGCGCCGCTTCTTGCCCCTTGGAAGCTGACAGGATACCTGGGGCGTCGATGCCTTCAAGTTCAACCCCTCGCGGCCCGCCCTGCAGGTGCGAATCGGACCGATCGGAAGCGATGCGGATCGCCGTCCTTGGCGGGAAAGTGGACCGGGTCAAAGGGAGACAGCCGGTTGCGATGAGCAAGGATGACATGGACATCCGGATGTTATGACATGCCATTTTCAAGCTTAGGATGTCGGATTCAATACCAAGATGAGACGTTGTCAGCTTGGGATGACCAAGGACCGCAGGCCCCAAGACACATCCGCCGTTGCGATGCAGCACGTCCGGGGCCGGTGCGCAGGAGAAGAACATGGTCTTCGCCAACGTGGGGAAGCAAGGCACTCGAGTTTGTCCAGGCGACGACCAGAAATTTCAATTGACAGCTGCTGTCATGGAAGAAATGTCAATGTCGACTTCTAGATTTTTTGATGTCCTGACCGAGTGTGGGACGTGTTCCTCACTGGATCGTTCGTCTTGGGGGCGCATTTGCGGGGTCTTCCCTAGGACATGAGGATGCAGGTTGTAGGACGGAAAGTGTGGACCCAAGGTCAGCCACCTAGGTTGAGCTTTCACCTGGCATGACTGGTGGACTGAGCTTTCCAGTTGTGAGCACAGACCAGTCCAGGCATGACTGGTGGCCTTTAGAAGGTTGATGGCCTAGACCCAAACTGATCCAGTCGGTGGAGAACCTGTCCAACCTTTTTGCGGGATTGGTTATGATTGGTTTTCCCACTCAACAAAAACAGGTGGAGATAGGTCAACTATATATACAGTGTGTATATATAGTATACTGTATATATATATATACTAGTACCTTTAAACGTTCTATATATATAAACTGTTCCAGGAACACTTGGGGAGTCGGCAAATGGGCGTGTCGACCCAGTTGAGGAACTTCCCACTCGCCTTTTTACTCCGGAACTGGTGGGTCAACAAGTACCATTAATTCTTGCTCCTAGTAGTAAGGCCCTTGGCTACTAGTAGCTTCTTGCTCCTTGTAGTACGGCCAGGAGCCCCTAGTAGCGATGCCCTTGCTCCTATATAGTAGACCCATGTTTTGTGTCAAACTACAGTGATGTCTTTGGTCAGCACCTGCATCAGGGCAGTACTTGGCCATGGACACTTGTGTAGAGATCCTCCGTGTTGGGGTGCCAAGGCGGTGCCAAGCCATCGCAGAGTTATTTCACGTGCCAAAGATGTGAGCCGCCCAGACGGTACCTACAAACCACCTCTCGGACTCTCGAGTGAGAGGTGCCCAGAAACCACCCTATTCGGGTCCGAGTTTTGCTAGAGGGTCCTGGTAGATCTTCAATATTATAAGTTTGTTCAATGTGTCTTTTCAACGAAAGGCGGCCAGGTCGCACATTCGCAGGTCCAGGTCGGAAGTTGCTGGCGAGTCTGAAGTCGTGCTCAGGATTGGAACCGGTCCAAATCAGTTTGAAGATGTTTGAAGATATCAGAAGCTATGGGCCTGGATGGGATTATTCGTGCCACATTCTTGGAACATGACTAATTGACTTTGCTATATAGAGCATGAGACGTTTTTCATCGTTTTTCATTTGTTACCAGAACCCGGCCAGAGGGAGCTGAACGAGTTATTTGTGTAGTACCCGCTTACAACCATTCTCAATCCTTGCTCAAATATGGGAAGTTGGTGTCACCATGGTCATGCCAAGCGCTTGGACTCTGATGCCGGGAGCTTTGCTAACGCAATCTGTGTAGATCGAAGATCATCCTGGCTGGCCTTACGCTAGCCTGAGGTTTTGGGCAAGGTCCGACGTGAAGGCAAGTAGAAGGCCGCGTCGCAGGCCGCATTCTTTTGCTTGGGGGGAGGTCATGGGAAGAGGCCAGCAGGGAGGATGTGTGGATGGGTGAAGAATGAACAATGACATCATAAGAGAACACAGTCGCATGCGACTTCAGGGTTGGCGACTGTGGAACATCCTGACTTTGTGGGTTGGTGAAAACTATTCTCTTGCCAAGATTGCAGCGGCCATAATTGTTTTGCACCCGCTCTGACCCCCAGCCTATCTCGGAAAGACGTATCAAAATTCTGAGATCCCCACGGTCCAGAGAGTGATAGATACAGATTGACTTGGAATGCAATTAATTTAATTGGATTGCACCTCTCTTGTAGAGGAAGGTCTTTCTCGTCAACACATGTCATGGCAGAACCCTTGCCATGGCCTGCCGGACTCATTCGTCGTCCGCACGCCCTTTTTCCCGCCGGTCACGGGCGATTAACAATCAGAAGTTCTCATCCAAAAGCCAGTCCCACAGCCAGGCTGGGGCGTTGTCATGGTTGTGTGAACCTTTCAGGCTGGCGGTTTCGTGACTGGTGTGACCGGCTGGCGGTTTGGGTATGCAATCCTGCATGTCGGCAGCAGATGTGAAGCACCACAGATCAGCAGTTACTTTTGGGTGGTGATCACATCCAGGACTACTAGAGAACTCTTTGTTTCAAAGGTGATGTTGACTTTCACCGGTGGTTTCACAGTAGATGGGACAACGGATTAGAGAGTTTTCCGAGATCCATAATCATTACCTTACCTTGGATGAGTGGTGTGCCATCTAACGCCCTAACATCACACTGGAAATGTTGGGTAAGCCACCTGGAGTTCTCGCTTGATCGCCAAGCACTGCCCAAGCACCCCAGCGAGTTTGGTTGGGTGACGAAGAAATTTTCCCTTTGCTCAACGCTAAGGTGCAATTGGGTGGCCCTGCTCAGTTCGAAATCGCAAATCTCTTTTCATACCGAGGTAGGCCCACTGTGTGGGTCACAAGTCTGCATTAAAGATGGGGGTTTGCTGCTCATGCGGACTCGTGCACCTCCCTTGCACCTCCCCTTTGCACGTCCCTTTGTCACCAATTATCTTTCCATGTCTTTCCGGCTTTGAACCCAAAGCATCACCAACCGACCTCACCCGCCCAAGCGACAGAACATTTGATCGCCACCCCCCCGCGCAGCTCGCGCGCAGCTCGACACCAGCGACACTGAGCTCCAGCGGGGCTAGGTCGAAAGGGCGAAAGGGCCCGAGCAACACCGAGCTCCTGTGAAAGAAGCGACCCTGAGCTGCCCGGGAAGGGTCACTGGTAGGTAGCCGGTCAGATCATTGGTGTAGCTGGTAAGGGCCGGTGTTTTGGCTGAAAAAGATTTGTGGATCCACAATGGTACATGCTGGTGGGGCAATTGAGCTGGAGAAAGGGAGACTTGGATGTTTGATGATGTTTGCATGTTTTTCTTATGCAGGTAGATGGTCTTAGTCACTAGTCTGGATTGGTCTGGCAGAGTCCAATAACTCTTCACGGCGTTCTGAATGGGAAAACTGGCAAGGCAGACATTGGTGTTTCAAGTACTGGTTCTTTTCTGGGGTCAGGGGAGTCTGGTATTTCTGGTGGGTCAATGGTGTTATTATATATAGTCTAAGTTGAGGTCCATGTCACATGCTCAAAACCATATATAGATATCCACAGCACCTTCAAGAGCCCTCAGGAATCACTAGACTTGACCAATAACGAGGATCCCCCAAAGTTGCACAGCGCGCTACAGGTCAACACCCGAGCCCCAAGCAATGGCATCGTTGCACGCCCTCCAAGATCTGATAATTCTGTGCATGAGAACGAGGAGGTTATACAGCCAGAAGGCTCGACATGGCTCGACTGTGTTTAGAAGTACCATGTTATTGGATGGTCAGAATCAGCTCCCCAAAGGTGGCGGCATGAGAGTTTCATTCAAGACCGCCTCAGTTTCCCTCGAGTTGATCAATCTAAAGGCCATTCTTGGGTATTGCTTTCCACACCGTGAAGTTCAGTGCCACGTGCTCATGCTCCTTGGCTGTCTCTGTGTGCAGCTGGCTCAACCTTTGGCCAGTCAGCAACATCACGGCGGTCTGGGGCCGAGGGGTCGAATGGGGGGCCGCGCGGCCCGCGGAACACGAGCTGGACCTGTAGAGCAGCCGTGAAAGTCCGTCGATCTTTTCAGGGTAGTGGCCTGTGTGCTTGTGTTTGATGGACAGTAAGCGCTAATAGGTTTGAAAACCGTCCTTGTATACTGTAGACAAAAGGGTGATCCAGGCAGTGGGCAACAAGCAGAAAAAAACAATCTATTGTATAAAAGCCTCAGCCTATGCTTGTAGTTGGTTGGCCGCTGGCCTCTTCTTGGAGGATCTAAGGAACTGCCCCCCCACGGCAACAGGCCACAGGCGGAATGAAACACAAGGCTAGCCAGGATCGATCGATTTCTGTCCACCCGATTTCTTCTTTTATGGGTGCCACAACAGAACATAGTAGAAACATGTAGAAACTATACCTGCGCAGAAAAAAGCTCGCCCGATGCTCAACCAGTCCTCACGCAAAAAGACAACTGTTGAAAAAGCGTTAACAGTCCGTTTCTGGAGGATTCCGACAAACACAAGTCAGGAACTTGACCTGCTTGTCACGGTGCAACCTACAAGCCTCATTTGTAGTTTAAGTATGTTGAAGTGTCAAAGCTTGATTCCTCCCTTGAACGTGGGTCTTCCTTCCATCCGACTTCCCTCACTTAGGCCATGGCCTTCGTCGCCCAGCGATTCGCCCGCTCTCTCGCAGGTGTATGGCAGACAGTACAGTGACTGCCAGGGTTTGATTCATAAACGCTGACGTACAGGGATCGTGGAAGCTTCCACCTTTTGGCGAAGATGGGCAGTTTTCAAACGTCGTGTGGAAGGAAGGACTCAACTCCGATGTCCCAGTTTCCAAAGAGTTTTCTTTGGCTACAAGGCTATAAGGCAAGCTGAAAAGAAATGGAATTCTGATCATTGACGAACATGAGGAAATAACTCCACCCCTCAATGATCCATACCAAGATCCCACACCTCAATTCCCGAAGCTCATGCAGCTTGCAGGCGCCACTGCGTTGGGTGGCGCTGCCGCTCTTGCACAGCTCGCGCAAGCTCCAGCGCGCTGTCGGAGTTCCCGGTGGCGCTTGATTTGCACGGATTTGCTTGATCAAATCTCAGAAGCTGGTTCTGATTCGAGCAGTTTGGACAGTGACTTAGAAGGTATAAACTTATAAAATATTTAAAACATGCAGTAACAATTATAGTTATAGTAATATATAATATGATTTAATCTAGTATAATATCCTTATATATATATATTGAAGCTGTGCCGAGAATCATTGAGAGTGTTGTCCCACCTGGTGATGTTTGGTCAGGATCATATCAACGATGTAAATACCTTCAGCGATCCCAGGGTGCAGTGAATGGCCTCATGTGGGTCAAAAGTTTTGAGAGGTCGTCCTTCCTCCAGCATCCCCCAACCGCAGTCTTCAGTCTTGATGGACTTGGAGAAAGATGCCCAGGCGGTGCCCCACTGGCGGTGCTTGTTTCGTCCCGACTTCGCTGGACCAACTGTGCTCCTTCGCACTGAGGTGACGACAAGGATCCGCCGCATCCCCCGTGCGGTGTCTCGGGGACCGTCACCGTTCTGGTGGAACCGCATTCGACAGATGGACCACGCTGGAATTTGCTGCGAGGGAAACCAAAAAGATGAAACCCTTTGGCCAGTTCGACACTCAAAGATGTCCAGTGCTCAAATGGGAATTCATGGGAATCCCTTTGCATCCCTTTGCTGTGTTTTGGACTTTGACATCGATATGGGTCAACACTTTGAAAGATCGCCTGTGGTACATCAATCCATCCGTTTTTAAGACATCGCCCTGCGTCCTGAATGTTGGCCAGCCCCGCTGTCTCTTCCTTCGAATGAGAGGTGTCATGATTTATGATAGCTGAATACATACATCATACGTCTATGTCCGACCTGATATGTATTTTGAAGAACGTGGGCATGCTGGTTGTAACTTAATAAAGCACCTCCAAGAATGTGTTTAGATACACGTTTCTTGCTTGCCTCAAGAAAGCCGTTGAAATCTAAAGATGTTGGTGATGTGGCGATGTGTCCTGGCCTATAGCATACCACATGGTGATGGTGGACATCCAACGATCGCAAAGCAGCCAAGTGCCGGCCCCTCAGGCGTTATCCTTTCTGGGTGAAGTCAGTGTTCCATGCCCATGAGATCCCGAGTGTTCGCCCGGGCACCTGGTGGGACCGGAGGACGGGACCGATGAACAGCCCTTCTGATGTGGCGAAACAGGCAAAATCCATGCTTTTGAGGACGAAAGCCACGTGGCTTTGGTTTGTGGGCTGCATGCTTTCCTAGACCGAATTTCCTGTAGCTGTTCCACTTCAAGCATTTGAAAGTCTGTCACCATGGAGTTTGTACCCCCTCTCTCGACCTACTGGCCTATGGTGATCCTATCCCCATGATTGTGACTCCCATCTGATGACCCAAAAGAGGCGGAATGCTTTGTCATGGGATGTCAAGGGGCATTCTGAAGTATGAATGAAAAGGGTGGAAATGGGATTCACTGGCCATCCGTGGGTTTGGGGAGAAAAGATTAGGAAAAGTCCACCTCAAGACCTTCACCTGAATTTTGGCTGGGTTCGCACACCCAGCCACTACATGTGCACTCCTCCAGGAACCCCAGGAACCCAGGGGTAAAGGAACATCTTCCATGCACACCTGTGTGAGAGTTGCTCTACTTTAAGTTTGGGGAAGGTGAAAACAACTGTTGCTTTGTTCAGGACCTGCACCTAAACACCTGAACCTACAGGCCGGAACAGACCGAAGTCCTAGAGACACCTTGAGACACGGCCTGAGCCGCAGGAAGATCGTGGCATGAAACGGGCTTCCAGACATATCCATGCGTTTGCCAGTCTAACGACCCGAAAAGACGATGTCAACAGTATACCATCGCTTCCGGAGCGACTTCTGTTCAGAGCGCGGTCAGAACCTGGCCATTCCTTGAATTGTGATGGAAAGTATGATAAATCCAGCTGACGTAGGGAACCCGCTCACCCTTGGGTAGTTCTCTTTGGCAAAGGAAAGATCAAGTATGATCAAGTCTGGTTCCACCGCTGCAGGTGGGTCAGACCCATAGGGCGGCACCACTTTTGGTCCACGCATCGGCTCCTCCTCAGGTCGTGGGTATGAGGTCTACCGCCAGGCCGAGCCGAAACCCATTTGGCACGAGAAATTGATGGTGGGACATTCGGAAACCGGAAGGGGCAAAAAAAAAAGGTTTTACCCAGCTACCTTCCAAGATCCGGATATGTTTTTGGACACCTCAAAGACCAAGAACCTTCGTTCAACCATACCCGCAAGCAATGAGTGCCCAGTGCCAACCATGTTTGAACATCGATTGTGGGGGTTGGAAAGCATCTATGGCAGGGCCCGGTATTCACTGTAGTATTCACTGTCAGGATCAGGAACTTGAGACTTGAGACCTTCCAAGATTGGCAAAAAGACTTGAGACGTTCACCACTTCTCGAACCAATGGAGACCCAGTCATATCCAGTCCTGCCTTTTTGGCCAAGGTCAAGATGCAATGGCAGTGTTTTTTTAAATGTGCAATCATGGCAGTTGTCACACCGACAATCAGCCGATACCAGCTATATCATTCTTTGACCGCAAAAAGAGCACCGTCAAAACATGCCTAGAGCCTAGACACGTTCCAGTGAAGAAGAAGACGTTCCGCTGAAAAGAAGCGGAAACTTCTTCGGAGCCAAACAATTGCATATTTTGGTTCGTTTGATCCAGTGGGTATTGAAGGCATTCGATCAATCTAGTCGCAGAATGTATGCTTGTGTATTTTGATTGGGGAGACTGTCTCCTGGCCCTGGCTGTAGAGTGACTGGTCTATTTCCCGAACCTTCCACGGGGTCAAACTGGGAGGTCTCCCTATCTGTATACACACGTATACACACCCATTTGTGGATAGGAGGCCAATCTGACAAGAGGGATGGGCATGGAACGGTTCCATCACTTTCCTTTACTAAAAGCACCCACTGTTCGATTCCGACGTCAGTCGCAGGGTTTTATCATCAGTAAGGCAGCATTCTGGAGAGATTCGAGACAAGTCATGTCATTGCATGCATCCTCCAAATGTAGTTATATAGAATATAGAGAGAGCTTTGGCAGACGGAATTGGAGCCGACAGGTCTGCGCCACATGCCATTCGATGAAGCAGCCTGGAGCTTAGACACCCAGCAGATCTCACGTGTTTCATAAGACCTGCTAAGCAAAAAAATGAGCAGGGACCGCAGGGGTAGAAAGCCACACTTGCTCCGAGGGCTAGGGGATGATGCTCACCACGCTTACAGGCAGCCATGCCTGCCAAAACCTCTTCGCCCATCCCGGCTAGATAGCGGATGATGGCGCAGGTAGATGATAGGTTAAATTGTAGGAGCGCAACCCTGCCCTGCAGGGTTGAGCAACAAAGCATGTTGGGCATGCGCATCAAATGCTCCCTGCTTGCAACATGTTGCATGTGGTTGTGGAAGGATCCACAAAGGTGTCCTCAAAGGGGCAGCATATAGTGTGGACCGTTGATGATTGTTGGGAGACTGGTGTCGATCCATCAATGAGCAACCCACGAAAGCCTTCAGCAAGGGCATTTTCAGCTAGCTGTCCATCGAAAAGGGCCTTACACCGCAGCCACCAGCCCGGACAGAAGGAGAACGTAGAAGAAACATAGAGAAACCATTCCCAGATGGAACATTCTCTATCAAAACCCATGAAAACTTAATAGTAATAAGTTAAGCCACGTTGAGGCAAACATAGATAAACATTGAGAGGAGAATGGGATTTGCTGTAGCGCATTTTTCGCTCGAGGCTGCATTTCAGACATCTCTCCAATTTCGTGCTGCCTGAAAAGCGCATGAAGGAGCACTCTCTTGAGTGTTATGTCAATGTGGCGAATTAGCAGGCGGTTGGTGGCCAGGCCTGGCCGGGTGCAGTCCCTGCGGTTCTACTGGCGTGTCGTTTCTAGGGCGATTGGGGTCATGGAGTCCACGTTTTCCATGGTTTTTCATGTTCTGCCAAAGAAGGTGTCAGTCGTTTTGCTCATAGAACAGGTTAATTAAATCCACTTGCTAGGATGAAGGCATTGAGAATGGATCTATCTCTCATTGAGCTGGACTTTCGGCCCAAACTCCACAGGAACATGTACACTCACGCACACCTCTCCCATGATTACATGCATATGCTAATATATGCAGCATGTCGAGGAAGTGTTGTAGGAGGGTGTGTTGAAGCTGGTCCAAAGACCAGCTTTATCGGCTGGGGTCCAAAGATAAGGGCCTCCAGTGCCCATCTCTGAGCTTTGAAAAACCAATATATATATATATATGCAAAGCAAGTGCCTGAATGGTTCCCACTTGATGGGACCTGCCTTTACCATCCCTTCACTAGACTAGCCACAGAAAGCTTTGCTTTGTCCGGTGTACCACGGTACGGCGTTTGGGACTGTCCCTTCGCTTCGCTTCCGTCCAGGAGATCGCCGCCAGCTACGATGTGGTGGACGGGCCCAACGATGAAGGCCGGTCGGGTGAAGGAGGCGGTATAACGAGGCGACTGTTCATCCGAAAAAGAAAAAAAAGAAAAAACAAACATCCGGCGAAGCAAGGCTCCGACCTTCGCCCTGCCCTTCCCCCACGACCCGACCTCTCCTCTCCCCTTCGGCGTTCGCCTTCCTCCTCGGTGGAGAGGCGAGATGTTCACTCGCCCGGGCATCTTGGTGGACGCCTTTCCATCGCCGTATCCCAACGAGGAGGCGAGGTCCGGAGTCGGAAGGACCGGACGAATCGGGGGAACTGGCGGAACTGTGGTGGAGCTGGTCGCTTCCACACGGCGTTTGGCCGAAGAAGAAGAACATGGATATAATTGGATGTACATTGCACGGACAGGCAAGTCTCTCATATTGGACAAACCAGGTGTTTCTCTGGTAGTTTTGCCTTAGTCCGGCCGATTTCAGTTGGTGTGCCAGAGAGTTGGGGAGGTTCAGCACAAATATCAGATATTATCAGCCTAGAAAAGAACCGACATGTTGGCATAAAAGCAGACTATGGGATCAGAAGTCCTATGTGTTCCCTGCTTCTCCCCCTTTGCACAGGCATCAGGGGAAACTTGGGATTGCGAGAGACAGCTGCACTGCAAGCAACATGTCCTGGGGTGTTTTAGAGTGTGTAAATAATTTTAAAGAAGGTGTTGTCCATGATGCATCACTCTCCGATTGTTTGATAGTTTTTAGATGGAACCATCCTCCCTCTCTCGACCTCACCCGGACAACGGAGCTCGTGTCTACACCGACGGCGCCGGGTCTGTGTACGGTCTCGTCACGAGCGGGACAGGCCGCACGCTATGCCAATGGCGGCGCCAACCCGCCGGGACCCCGTGAAAAGTGGGGGGACATTGGGGCAATGATAGGAAGACTGTCTAGACATCAACTCCGCTAGTGATGCCAGTCCTAATTGTTGAAAAAACAGATGTCGTCCCACTACCTTGTCTCATATCATCTCAGTAGTTCTCATAGTTGCATGGCGCCTTTCTGGAGCAGAGATCCCTCACATGGTCAGTCCCTTTGGCTACAAGAAAACGCCACAATCTTCCGGTGGTAGCTGCAACCAGCGGGAACACTTCGATTGGGAGAACGTGCAAATTATTGACCAGTCTATGGTTGAATTGAATCTCAAAAGAAGTCCAAGAATCCAACTTCAAGTACATATTCTAAATCGGTTAACTCTCAGATTTGGGTCATCGGCATTGACATGAACAATTCAAAATTGCCCGACACTTGCCCTTGCAACTGGTTTCTGGAGAACATACAAAACCCATCGCTGCCAATCCAACACCCTGCTGTGAGCGGAAACCGTGGGAGCTGAACCCATCCAGGCATTTTGGTCCACTGGGTCCACGGAGTCCAAATCCCCCAGCTCCTCCAGCACCACATAGCACTGTGCTGAGCTCGCTTGAGGCCTGACTTGAGTGTCTACACCACTGCCAAGCACGAGGGTGCCCTGGGCTGGTCAGATCAGCTGGTGTTGCTCGAGAAGACACTGATGTTGATGTTGGGCTCCATATTGCGTGCGATGGCGGATATTCAGTCAATTCCAGAAGTTCACATGTGTTTGTGTTTGTGTCCAGATGAGGGGTTTCTGGTCCATTTCATTGAAGTGTCTATAAGTAGAGGCGCTCATTTGTGGCTACCTGGTATGTTGAGGGGCACCTCGTTTTGAAGATATGATAGAGAGAGAGAGAGCTAAGATTTGTTAGCTGTTGTGAGTGGTAGAATGTGTTTGAAGATACCCCTCAAAAGCAGTGCGCTGCCGATAGAAGACAAGGACTTCTCAGGTGTTGTGCACCCATGCGTTGCTGCAGTGGGGAAGCAATTTGGTAATTTGTCATGTCATGTTTCCTATCATGGGCGGAGTGAGAGCAATGAACCCAATACTGTATATACTACATAGTAATAGTATATATGTATATACTTGAGTGGTGCGTTTCAAGTTGCAAAGTTCGTCCATGACAACAGTTCTTGACCAATTCAGTATAGGTGTCGGTGAAAGCCTGAAGATGCCGTATACTTTGTGGGAGAATGTAGCCCACATCCCCAGCTGACTGATCAGTCTTGTCAATTGATGTTCACTGCCCTCTTGATCACAGGCGTTACCCACAAACCTTTTTTTTGGACTTCAAAAGCTACCATGTCGTTTCATTCCACCCACAAAAAATCCGATGATCGATGCCCATCGAGGTTTGGACTACATCTTCGCCCTACTCTTGGGCTACAGAGTCGCTGTCTCAGTGAATGGGGGCGGACCATTGAGCCGCGCGTTTGTTATTTTTGGGGGGCCACCAGTTCTTCTCAAAGAGATGATGACACATGAAAGTGTAAGAACCGTTTGGAACCGCCCATGTTTTTTACTGTATACTTTGGTTTGAAAGATAACAATATGAATATGATGACAATCTAGAAATATCATGAGATATCTAGAACTTCTCTGTCGCAGCTGTTGCACTGTTGCAGTATCATCAGTTTCAAAGCGCATGGTCCTGCACACCTGTTTCAGGGGATTGGCCAGAATGTTTCAGAAAGTCTCAGACTCCTCGTTCCGCCTCCGACCAAACCGAACCGCGTGTTTCCACGCGGAAACCGTACCGTACCGCCGGTACTGAGGACCCTCCGGCTGGAATCGAAGTGCGTGATGGCTTGTACTACAACGTGTGACTTGGTGTGGACGGCGGACGGACGCCTTCGCAGGTCGCGTTCCGCGGAACGGACGCCACGGCATGGGCGCCGCCACGGACGGAGGCCTTGGCGGTGGCGGGGCGAACCCCCAAAGTTCCAAGCGGCCAACTCTCCGAGGTTCTCGGCAAGGGAGAAAGGTCGTGAACGTGCGAGGGGGATTGGAATTGGTCGTGAACTTGCCAAAAGCTGATTGGCCACTTGGGTCTGGGGAGAGCAGAACTTTTATATATAGACTCTTGCTGGTGAGTCAAGGGAACCTATTCGATCAGAATGGCCCTGCGAACCTGTCGAAGGATTTGGTTGGGGAGATTGGCGAAGCGCTTGCTGGGATCGATTCGAGTCGTTGCTCGCAAAGGATCAGAGCAAAGACACGAAGTCTTTCAAATTTGTCCAAAGAAATGAAGCGGCATACAATAGAAACATTAGAAACATACTCAATTTTGGCATGGAGCCTCGGGGTCGGTGGAAGATGGATGAAAATGGCTAGGGCTCGCCTTGAAGGTACCCATCGAATTACAATGAATTAGCATTTCGTCGTCGGCGGGTGCAGTCTGCGTGCCCGTGGGCACCGCCACTCCCAGCGCCTTCAACGGCGGAAAAGACTGATTCAGATGACCCACAAGCATCCCACAACATCCCCAGGTCTTAGTTGTCGCATCCAGGCTTGAAGGACGAACATGGATGACCACCGTTTGGGACCAGACACTGGGAGAATTCAATTGTCTAATTTGTGGTTGGTGGATGCATAAGTATATATGCATAGTCTGTTGCACACGGTGGTCTTCCAGGTGTCCCTGTGTCCAGTTTTTGCCCGCAGTGAGATGAGGGATAGTTGCTATGTCTGATTCATTGGGTTTACTGAGGATACTGAGGGACACGTTCCGCGAAACCAAATAAAGGATGTTCGAATGTTACAAGAAGCTCATACTATGATGCAAACCAACCAGAATCAAGTTTGATCATCCTCTCTCACATATGTAGATCAAGTGAGCTTTGGTATTTCACTTCCGCCAAGGTACTTCCCTGGAGGCAGGTCCTGCTCTCTTTGCGTGACAGTGTCGCCGCTGTTGGATCAGCCCAACGCATGACATTTTGATGGGGCTGAGAAATTGAAAGGATTACACGTGATTGCACCTGCTAAGATCTGGATGGAACCGGATGACTTCCCTGGTCCCATAGAGATCAACGCTCTTCCAAGAAAGGTTCAATAATCTCTTACTGTACGATCTCTTACGATGGCTCTTATCATTGTGGCCAGAGGTGGTTTTGGAGTGGGGAGTTGATGTTTCTGGTCGCTGTTTTTGCTTGCATACAAACAGTGAGCCTCCTTTTTACCAGGCTCCAAGAGCAGCATTCCAAACTTAGCCAAGATGGTCTCATCCTTGTTCTGCCAGCATAGAAGGGTTGAAAAAAGAACATCCCCAAGAGAAACAGCAGGCTAGAAAACTTAATCAGATTGTTTTCCATCCACCAAAACTAGTCATTTCCATCTTCTCATCCTGTTCTGCACTTACTGATCACGAGAGAGCTGGAAGCCAGGCTTGATTGGCATGCCCAACCCTTTGCACTCAGACGGCCTTGTGGACTATGAGGAGACACAAGACCATCAAAACCCGACGACCACCAGGGCTGAAGTGGATGAGACTGTTTATGTCTTAATGTCACTGTGTGATCGAATGGAGAGTGCCCAAGCAATGGGCTTTGGATGATGCTTTGCTTTTCTACCAGGGGTCTCAGTTGACATCAGGTTCAACAAACCTATGTCCTTTCGGGTGAACATATATACATAAACGGTGGTCAAAACCGCTTGGGTATTCAAACAGGAACGCCAAAGCCCCATAAGTTGAACGTCTTTATTTTGCCTGATAGAATTGGGGATTCTCTTCAACCATCCCAGTTGGATCCCAGTGTATCCTGACACTGTGAAATGTGATGTTCGATCATCCCGTCATCCTTGACATGAAGATGTTGAGGTTCCTAGCAACATGACAAAATTGGTGGGTGTGGGATCCACAAGAAAGAACTTTGGCTCAAGAGATATCAATGAAGATGATGGGCCGTCTCCCGTGGAAAGAACATCATGTGTTTGTGTATTATATGTGTAATATAGAAGATCAACATTCTGAGAAGCTAGATCTCCCATCACTGGACAAAATCGGAACGTCACCCGCATGCATCCATTTATGTGACCAGGACGGTACTCCTTGCACCAAGTCCCAGATGGCCAAAGACGTGTGGGCCCAAAGATTTGATGCTCCATGTTTTTGAGCTGCCCAAACAAGAGGGAAGTTGGAAGCAGGCTTACCTGTAGTATCCTGTAGTTGTTGTTATGTTTGTTCAGATTTTCGATGCATGCGGGAAACCTCCCATCCGGTCTCCACCGTGACTGCGGACCAAGGTGTAGAGTCTCATCTTCCATTCGCCTACCAAGTGAATAAGAGAAGTGGTTTAAAGCCTGGTGCAAACCAAAGGGTTGTTGGTTCCACATCCAACACCAACTCCAAGCAGTTTGGAACCCTTTGTTCTACAGTACAGTGATCTTGGGATATCTTGTGTGGTCTTTACCGTGGTGCAGGTCGTTGTTTCACAGCACAAACATTCATTATGAGCAGGTCTTTGTGCATGAACACGTCCGAATCAACATTCCGCAAGCCGGCCGAGTATGCGTTGTCATTCCATGTCCTCACGTGGAAACGGCGGAGGTGGGGGTCTCTCTGAAATTAACATGGTTCCAGCCATGCATGGATCATGCTGGCGCATTTCCACTGGCACGCTTCAGTCACGAAGGCATTTTTGGAAGCGCTGTTAAACAAAACTGGTCTCGCCCAAGTTCCGCGGGCTGGAGAGGCTTTGCAAACCAAGAAGGACTTGCAGATGGAGCCACCAGAGCTCTGCACCGAAGGGGTGAGCCTGAAAGAGCCAAGTGTTTAACGAAAAAGGCTTCCTAGTGGACCTTGAGATGGGCGTCCGCATAAACTACCTTTGGGGGTAGACAGGTAGTTTGAGAGCCGTATTCAATATATGGTAAGTTATATGGTAATATAATATAATATAGGGAGAGAGACAGGTGAATTTTTCATCGGACTCCCATGTCACAAGGGCTCCACCATACTTGGTTAAAACATCCTGATTCAAAAGATTGATAAAACATGATGCCGTTCACAGTGATACATAGGTCACCCCATACTTCCAGTCGTTTTCTGACGCCAACCAACCCACCACCACTGCCGCTCCGTGCGAGGTGGTGAATTTCCTGTGCTGGGCCGCGGAGCCGGCGCACGACGAACGGAAGCTCATCGGCCTCAAGGTGCGTCAGCCAGTTGTGGGGGTGAGAGCCTTGGGCAAGGAGCAGCAATCCTTCTCTGAAGTGGTTTTGAGGGGAGGGAGTGAAATGGAGTGAAAGATGTAAACCTGAAAATCACATATAAACCAGCAACCTCTTGATGAACCTTGGAGCATCGAGAACCTTAAGTCTTGCTCAAGGACTAGAAAGGTTGTGGCTGCGCTTGAAGAATTTATCGCGAATCTCGAAACAAGATCCAAGAAAACACAACCTGCCCTTCTTTACCCCGAGATTTCACTTCCACTCGATGCAGTGCATCCCGACCAGTGGCTCGCTGTGACTGAAAGCATCACTGACAGACTGGCAGATTGAAGTCAACAACCAATGATGTGTACTCGACCTCACTGTGGGCTACATACTACTTCACAAGTGGGGTCCACCGGGTCCATGTGACTTTCCTGGTTTGGGACGACGCTCGGTCGCACACCCGACGGGAGGCAGCGAGCGCCTGCTTGGTTGGTACCTTTATCGTCGGCTTTTGGTATCGAAGCATGTGGATCGGGTGCGCCGGACCAAGCGACGAGATGATTCAGACGAGACCGGTTTGTTCGGGAGCGGGTTTGTTGGTAAAGGGAACTCCGTCCTCATGGAGAACCATCGCGTGGTGAGGGGGGTTGTATTGTTTAAGGTCTTCTTTTTGCTTGGTGGTGGCAGCTTCGGTTGCCATTCATGGATGCCGTTCTTACTTCCCTGTATCGGTTTGGAAGTGCTGCTTAGTAGCTCGGGTTGATTTTATAGTTTTTTGTTTTAGATGCTTTATTTGCGTCCAATGACAAGTTGTTGACTGTGCATGTTGTTGGAGGATAATCCTTTCACGATCACTGAAGCGGAATCTGAAAATAGAGCCGTGGGCCTGTGGGCCTCCATGTGTTCAAGTGTGTGTTTCGGTACGTGCTTTGGGGTTCCATTTATCTCCAGATGTGTTCAAGCTTCTGCTACCTGTGATTTTGCATTCGTGAGGATGTGGTTTGGTAGGAATATCGACTGTTGTTCAGAGAAATGACGGAAATATTGTCTTTTGCAGTCACCACGTTCTGACCGCAACTTGGCATGCATACATGGCACCAGACTGCCGGTTTTCAAAACAATAAAACGGGGCAAAGGTCCCCGTAATACACACACGTCATTGATGAAGGTCCCAAGAAACTGGTTGATATGTAATACCCCCAACACTGGTTCTTGGTCTCAGTATCCGCACAAAAAACGAGTACTATCAAACTCACCGTTTTGGTGTCAGTTTCCCAGTCTTTCAAAGTATACTTGCATTGTTTCTTGGTGCCTCTTCCACGAACGCAAAGACTCCGATGTTTTTTGGTCAAACATTTGTTCGGTCTCCCGATGAGCATCGACGGGAGAGCGCTCGGAGCTACGCCAAACTCATCAAATTCTCGGGGTCCCACCGCGTGACCCGGGACGGTTTTTTTTGTTTCGGCTGGGCAGGTTCAAGACACGCCGCATTGACTTTACCAAAGCTGTGATGTGCGGATCCCATGTGGCGAAGGGGAACGCAGCTTGAGAGAGAGAGAGAGTGAGAGAGAGAGAGAGAGTGAGGAAAACACTAAGTTGTTGAAGGGTCCGAAGAGACAGGAGGGGATGACAAAGGATTGGTCGACTTGGGAGCAGGTTTCGCAAAGCCCTCAATCATGTGTTTGTGCTGCATGTATGCTGTATATAGCATTATTATGCATTATTTGTCCATGGTTTTTGTTCTAAATTATTTTCGGATGTTCCAGAGTGAAATGGGGGTACTACAGTAGATAGGTATTCAAATTAGGTCCTTGAGGGTGCTTCATGATTCTCGAAAATCTGCCAGAGACGAACACGTTCCAAGGTGAGACAGTCCTGAGCGATTTCCTTCGGGCCGGCAGATGAGACCCGCGCCTGCGCCTGTTAGTGCGTGCGCTTGCGAACATGGTATGCCCAGCATGCGCTTGGTTCGAAGATTGTGGAAGTTTGGCGACACCCTTTGGATTGTGTTTCATCCTTTTTCTCACTGTTTGATCTGTTTGAGAAGGACAATTAGTTTGCCAGGCTGCTTCCACTCATGAAGGGAGTAAGTGTGAAAATAGAAGAAAATAGTAGAAAATATAGGTTCTGCTATATGCTGAAATGTTCTATTGTGTTATTTGTAATGTTGGTGTTGACTCAGAACGCCAGCCTCAAAAGAACGTCGATTGGCAAGTCCTATGCACCGCAGCCATCCATAGAGAGATCTTAGCTTTTTGTATCTTTGAACAGCCTCGTGGCTGGTGGAAAATCTGCGCCGTGCTTGTGTCCATTGAGGGGTTCCGTCCACATGCCCCTGATGAAACATGGAAAGGCACAGACTTAGTGGGGCTAATTATATACCTTTGTGTGAGAATCGATTGAATAGATGGTGAACTGCCATTGCGCTTGTGTATGGACCAAATCCCACCAAATGTTGACCTGTGAGTTGTGCCATCTACTGGTACAGTTTTCACACCGATCTACATATGTCTTAGACGGCCACAAAACACGGCGACGAGCTCAGAGCTCAGTTCCTCTCAGGACATGCGTTCCTCAGAACGACCACCATTTGGAATGTGCGTTTGAAACTTGGCAACGTATTTGTTGCCGCATATCCATATCCACGAACATATAGAAACAGAAACTTATCTTCTTGGTTTCTTTGCTCGTCCCATTGGCAGCAGGTCGATGGGCTACCGGCCACAAAGGTTGAAACCGCTAGGTTCGGACCATCCTGCAGCTACCTCGGAATAGTTCCACCAACCCACTGGTTCGGTCAAGCTCCGTCTTTTAAGTGACACGATCAAACGATAAAGCGCTGTCACAACATCGCAGCCATGTCTTGCTGTTTTGCCACTTGCCGCCAGCTTGCAGTACTAGCTGGAGAGGGAAGACCTTTGTTTGCTGATAATCCCGAGGAAGCTTGTTTCTTGTCAGAATGTTCATTTGGACAAGACCTCACAACCCCCGAAGCCCCAAGTGAGTGCTGAAACTAGTTAAAGCCAAGCCTTTTGTGTTGAGCTTGCTCCACCATTGAGAGAGTCAATGCAAAGAAGTGATTCAATGCACTCCCAAAGATCCGAGGCACCGCCTTCGAAGCATGAGACACCGCATGAGACACCCTTCAAACAACCAAAGGAATCCGAGTGGCAGCTGCGACGTCGCAGTTTTTGCCTGTTTTGCGCTTTGATAGCATCGTGCACTCAGACAATGTAGCATGGTGGAGGAGAATGGTCATGTTTTCCCCTTTCAAAGTCTTGAAGCTGGAGCTGGCAAACAAGTTGACCCGAAAGGCATCTGATTGGCAAAGATTTGCCACGTCTCGGGTCTATGTTTTCATGCAAAGCAAGCAACCAATTGCTTGTTGATGGAACTAATCCATACAAATCCTGCTTCGCCCAACCCAGAGAGGACACAATAAGTAGATACCCCAGGCGTCCGCATATCGAAAGCACTTGACCCGCCCATCACCGAGATCATTGGTTCACATCACCTCGATCCACGCATGATCAGTTGAAAACCGATCCTGTGTTGGGGTCTGATATTCGACTCACATCGACTCACATCCATCTCATTCGCATCTCGACAATCGAAAACGACCCCAAGCACAACCGCGGGGTGAACGTGCGAGCCATGGGGGTTGGATCTGTCCGACGCCACAAGCCGACCATGGGTGCCACGGGCGGGGGAACGGGAGGTGTTCGAGGGAGAACGCAAGACGCAGGCTTGAGCGGCGCAGATGGTGGGACATAACTTGTGTTTCTCAGGATGAAAGGAGAAACTCGACCACGACATCCCGAAGGTGTTAGAATTTTGCATGCTTTCAGAGCAAGTTTGAGTTCCTCCATTTCTGGTGTCTTCCTCCCAGTTTGTGTTGAAAGACCGCTACTATGTTGGGTAATTATTCCAGTTGGCCATCTTTGTTTCCTCCATTACCATGCTGGGTCTTTCAGTGTTGTTCTACTATATAACATGTTTATACAATTGAAGTATATAGATATATTATATATATAATATTTATGAGAGTCGTCCTAAAACCCACATAACAACACAACCCCCATATATATAACATTATAATATATATATATGAACACGGTGATGTTCCAAGAGCCCTCTCTCCTTCGTGCGCTCCGCAGTTTCCGTCATGTGCCTTGGATGGATTCATGGTCGCGGGGGCCAACCAATCTCGTGGAGCTGGTGGACAGGTGTGGCTTGGATGAGTTGTTCCCAAAACTAAGTGTTAAGTGTTCTCATAAATGATAAAGGGCTCTCATCTAAAGTTTATTGGCTTGCATACTGTTGAGTGCTGACTCCTTCACCGGAAGGGCTAGGCAAGATGCTGCTAAGCTAATGTTTCAGGTATGCTAGGTCTTGATTGAAACTATTCTACCAACGGAAATCAACATGTGCTGACTTTGGGTGTCCATCCAATCTGTACCTCTTGGATCTGGCGAGGAGTTTCCCTGACGTGCAGACGGCGACTTCTTCCCGAAGCTCCTGAATAGACCCCGCGGATTCAGATCCAGCAAATCAACGGCACAACATCAGATCATAACATTCGCTCGTTGGATAGAAAACGATAGAAATAGCATGAAGTATCTACTGTATAACTACTGTAATTATTCAAAATCAGCGTGAAGGGAGCTGGGAGCTGATCCATCAATATCCATCATGTTGGTGGACCTGGAATCAATTGGCTTGTCCATTCAAACCTCCCGGGCATCGGAACATCAGCGACCCAAACAACGTCCGAGATCCGGACACGGCGTGGTTCATTCGGAGACTTGAGGATGCGGTGAGTTCTGCCAAACATGATGAGATGTAGCTACGGTGGATGATGTATGGTGATGTAGGTTCAGTCCAGGTAGTCTAGGTCCCCGAATGTTTACATCATGGGAAAAAAAAGAACATTAGGGCACAAACAAGAAACATGTGACCTGCAATCCCAAATATCCCATTGAAGTCCGATGTGCTGAAACATCGTTCATACCTTTCTGCTTCAGCTCCGGATCCCAACAGCCAGGGCTGAACCCTCACGCCCAGGGCTGAATTCGACCGCCTCAAGTCCCACGGTGTGGACGGCGAGGCGTGCGGCTCGCGGGGCGGTGCGCGGGGGTGGAGGTTTCGAGGGGTTATCTATAGGGCACCCGGCGGCCGCAAGGGTGTGTATTGACCCTACAAATGCAATAGGCCCAAAAATGAACGAAAGAATGGCTCTTGGGGTGTGTATGGAAGTAAGGGGGCCTCCCGGTTGGACCCGCTGGAAGAAGGAAAACAGACCAAAACCATCCAAAAAACCATTGGTGGGGTGTCTCCCCATTATATTATATAAATACACACCCAATTGTTCTAGGCTCCGAAATCAGCAGATACAAGACGGACCTATTTTTAGAGTCTACTAGAGGGGCATTCATCAAGGCCATCCCGTTTGGCGGGAGATGATGAACATCCCACCATCATCCACCATCTATGATGGTTTGGTAGCCCAGCTTGTGCAGATGAATCTACTCTTCCTCCATCCAACATTCATGGAAGTGGACAATGGCCCTCCAAACAGTGATTGTGTTCCACTTCCACAATTGTTGGAGAGTGTAGCAGTCGGCTGGAACATGCCCGGCATGTCCAAAACTTTCCACTCGTTGGGTTCTGTGAGTTGCTGGTATCCAAATACAACCCTGTTTGGGGGAAACGACCGGATCTCTGCTCCTTTGGGAAGCGATAAAGAGCAGGGTTGTTTTCGGGTTGCAGGTTGGTTGGTGAGTGTTGACCCACACTAGTCAGTCTGGTCATCCATGATGAACCATTCCACTGATGTTCCAAGACCAAGACGAGTAGCATCCGTGGCCACATACGGACAGGTCAGAAATCGTTGAAAAGAAAGGGCGACTGAACCAGTTTCAGAATGTATGGCTCAAAGCAAGTAATTACTTGAACTGTGGGCAAGTAGTTCTTGGTATCCTTAATTCGTGGAGGCACCGGCTAAAGACAGCAATGCAGACTCTGGTTGTTTCTACTTACTGGAGGCCATCGCTTCTAGGTTGGAGGCCATCGCTATTAGGGGCTCCTGGCATCGCTACTAGTAACAAGAAGCTACGATCGGGGCTCCTGGCCTTACTACTAGGAGCAAGGACGCTACGAACGGAGCAAAGGGCATCGCTACTAGGAACAAGGACGCTATTAGGTTCAATGATTGCAATTGATTGTTGATTCACAAACAGCGACCGCAGTCGCACCGGTCGCCGTCGCGCAGGCCGTGTGGGGCGCCTGGTTCAAGGCCTGGAAACCGCCGTGTCCCAGGTCCAAGAACCGGTGCATCCAGGTGTCAAAGGGTAGAGAAAAAGGGGGGGGTTCTTTAAAGGATTCCAGGGCACGGTGTAAGTAATTAGCTTGTTTTTGGGCGAAGACAAGTATCACTGCTGTGCCTCCTGTGCTTCAGATTGATGCCTTGAGGAGAATATGCCTACATCGTCGAATCTTTTTCAACGATGCATACTGCGTTATTTAGAGGTCTGGGATATATAGGTGTGTAGTGAGGACTCTACAACGCAAAATTATGCAAAGTTGGGGCCTTTAGTGTAGGTGGGGGCCAAAGTAAATCATGTTTGTATGGGAGATACAAACAGAAGTTGGCTTTTGGTATTGAGATCCCATTGGGTAGGCAGGGTAGCTGAGACTTTTGAAAAGCTCTTGTGTGCGCTATTGCAGAACCGCCCGTTGCGCTATTTTTTGGCTGTGGTCATAGCGTGAGGCGCGCCAGTTTCGCAATCGTTCGGAACGTGACCCGGCCTGACACAGCGTTGTGGTTCAGGGATGCCATGCCTCCTCCACGCCCAGTGGAGCCCGGCACACTCAGGGGGTTGGGAACAGGAAGGGACCCAAGCAAACCATCTAATTAGAATCCATGCCGCCTTTTGTTGGGTATATTGGGTAATTTTTGTGGCCAATTATGTTCTAATATTTACATGTTAATAAACGTTCTCCGTCTCAAGAACCTATCTAGGGCCTAGGGGATTGTGTCATTTACTCTGAAAGCACTGTAGACTCCGAGATTTCAGAAGGATTCAAG